CAGATAAATGCTTTTTCTGCCTTATAAAGGAGAGGCTTGCCTTTATAAATATGATCTTATTATCGAGATGACAGTTCGGACTGGACTGCTGTTACCAAAAGAGGTTCAGGTTCACTGAAATACAGGAAGTAATTCGCTCCTAAATTTTCCTGTAGAAGCTTGTAATAATTACAGACATGGAAAATTCAGACTGGATTAAAGTTATGGATCATGATGGTAATTGCTTTAATTGCATGGTGTCCCCAGGTAAAACTAACCCCTTCCGAATATGGCTTAATATGGATATTAGTTTGATGATGAATTCCTGATAATTCATATATGTCTCATCAAATTTATTAGCCCACTATGCATTCCAGTCTGTCCAAATCACATGCTTTTTGAAAATCCCTTTTTATATACATGCGGCCTGATCTGAGATCAGTAAGCAGACCGGCATTTGGAAGCCCTGGGGTCGTGATTGGCTCACTGGCCTGTCCCTTAGACTATCAGGGCGGTGCAGCCCGACGTGGTGGTGGTGGAGCTGTGCCAGTACAGGGTGTCTATGCTGAAGATGGATGAGAAGACGCTGCTCAGGGAGGCCAAAGACATCAACTTGGAGAAGGTGCAGCAGGCCATACGGCAGGTGAGGGAGACCGTGAGAGACATGCCTGACGTTCGGATCTTGTGGGTGAAGTGGACCTGAAGCGTATTGGTGGTTTCTACCCTCTCAGACCTAGGCCTTGCTTGTAGCCAATGGTGTCCTCAGCCCCATTGCCTCATTTCCTGTCCTCCCTTCCCAGAACGGCGTCATGTCAGGCCTGATGCAGATCTTGCTGCTCAAAGTGTCGGCCCACATCACGGAGCAGTTGGGCATGGCCCCCGGCGGCGAGTTCAGGGAGGCCTTTAAGGAGGTGAGACCCAGCTTCTGACTTCGTGAATTGGCACAGCGGTGCATCCGTACACACGCTCGGCCTGTTGGGACACACAAGGCTCCTTCCACCCTGATTGTGTGAGTGTGGTCCAGCCGTCACTCACCCTGCACGTCTCCATCGCCAGGCCAGCCGGGTGCCTTTCTGCAAGTTCCACCTGGGCGACCGGCCAATCCCTGTGACCTTCAAGAGGGCCATCGCCGCTCTCAGCCTTTGGCAGAAGGCACGCCTGGCTTGGGGACTCTGCTTCCTGTCAGACCCAATAAGGTGAGGTGTGATCCTCCGTAGAGTCTGCCAGGGTGAGGTTACGGGCCTTACAGACCAGACTGCTGTAGAGCATTTCTGATCAGGTAGGGTTCTCACCCTCAGTCAATGTCCATTTGGACCAAAAAGGCAGATTACATTTACCTAAGTAACTCATTTAGCAGACTGGATAATATTAATTGCAAGACGAGATGTGATTTAAGATTCGACAGTTATATTCGAAGGATTAAAATGTGCATAATCTGGGTGTTCTCAGGTGAACTAAAGTGTTTGTGTACGTGTGTGTGTACGTGTGTGTGTACGTGCATGTGCACACGTCAGCAAGGAGGATGTGGAGAAGTGCAAGCAGAAGGACCTGCTGGAGCAGACCATGTCAGAGATGATTGGCGAGTTCCCGGCCCTCCACCGCACCATCGTGGCAGAGCGAGACATCTACCTCACACACACCCTGCGGCATGCTGCGTGCTGTGTGGAGGCGCCCCCTAATGCAGAGAGTGAGAACTGCCTCAGCCACCTCTTTACAGAACCTTTTATATAGTTGGATCTGCAATGCATCTGTCTCCCAAATGAAACTGTAAATTTCATTTAACATTTTTCTCATTCTGAAATGGTTTGATTTCTGAACGTTATCACCTGCATTTCAATAGCAATTTGTCCACTGGCATATTTACCCCACCCAGCAAGGAGAATATTATTTTGCACAGTTACTGAAGGCCCCCCCACCCGCTCCCTCTCTCTTCCCCTTCCCCCCTCCCACTTCAGAGGTTCCTGCTGTGGTGGTCGGGGTCGTGGGTATGGGCCACGTTCCGGGCATCGAGAGGAACTGGGACATGCAGCTCAACATCAAGGAGATAATGAGGTATATGCATGTGTTTGCACGCTACTGCATTCATGAGTGAAGGATCGCCTGTCTGAATTATCTGAAGTGCACACTGTGTGACAGTGAGAGTTCTGACTGCATCTAATGGATTCCTGTGGCCAGAGATGGCTTCCTTCTGGGATATCTTCTGAGAAGGTGGTAATGGTGGTTTGAGTCAAATCGAGAAACCCAGCATGGCTGATAGTGTTTGAGCTGTTGTGTGCGTATAATTGTGTATTTTGCATTAAATAGCCTGTGGTATGTGTGTGTAATATAACAATTCAGACTAGACTTCCATTACCATAAATATATATAAAACACTGTTTGGTGGATGTGATACATGGCTGACAGTCTGTTGTTCTTGGTCCTTCTCCCCCCACAGTGTGGCGCCCCCATCTCGCTTCAGCTGGGTGTTACGGACAGTGCTGAAAGGCACAGTACTGGGCATCTTAGGATATGCCTGTTACCGGGCAGGCGGGGGTGTGGGCAGGGCATTGCTCTCCACGCCTGCTGTCCAGTCCTTACTGGGGGGGTCACGCCCACCGCCCGCCTGACGACAGACACGGCACTCGACACCGTGTGGCCTTAAATACAGGAGGTGGGGGTTTGGAGAAACTGATTGGCTAAGAGGTCCAGGGCCTGCCCTCGCTGACCCCTCCCCCAACTCCGCCGCCCATCACTTCTGTATGAAACGTTGACCATACTGCCAAAGAGCCTATTCATCCTCTGGGATTATGCAAATGAAGCCAGTGGTTTTTAGGGTCCACATTTGTGACCCAGATGCCGGTGGCCTCCACGTTTTCTATAATGGTTTAAGAGCGATGATCGTCCTCCCTCCCCCTAATGCAGACTGAACCTCAACTCTGTCTAAACTCAGTCAAGAATTTACACCACGGGACCAGAATGCAGCACCTCCTGCTGGCTCCGGACGGCACCCCTAATCGGCGACCACATGGCCCGACGTGCCAAATACCCGTCGGAACCGTGATGCTACGACCTAATCTGAGCTGAGCCCTTCATGCTGCACCAGGAGTCAAAATGCTTTCATGACCAGCATCTCTCAGACCTGTTTAATAGTGCCCTCCATTCAGTAACACTGTCTAAATCAATGTGGTTTCAAAGTGCAGGTTGACCTGTAATTGGCTAATGATAGGCTGTAACTTTGCAGCTCATGTTTTAGTTTGATGTTAAATTATTAAAATATTACAATGGCCAATTCCGGATGCAGCCCAAGGATGACTCATCCAAAGGTGTGTGTCATTCAGGAATGAATTCTCCCAGTCTCAGTTTTTAAACCACAGTGTGGATGGTGATCATCTGTGTCCTATCCATTGCCAAACATGTCAGCAGTCTTTCCTTTCCCAGCAGGTAAATTTCATGGTTAACCACGGTCAGCAACAGTTTCTGTGAAGGGTGGTTGTTTCAGTGCTTTTTTTTTCCCCTTTCAAGATCAGTTTGCTTCAGAGGTGCACTGGATGGTTGTCAATATCCCTACTGATGCAAATGTGACAAGTGCCTCGTAGCTGTTGATGACATGGTTGTCTCCACCCTTCCAGGATCTGTGTGTGGGGGGATAGGGGGTGTATCTGAGGACTGAACAGGGAACACAGGCAATCTAGGGTGATAGAACCTGAAAAACATGCATTTTATATACTATGCATAGTCTCAACTGTGGGTATGTGGTCATCATTACTGACCAAGTATCAGCTTGTTCTACTTGAATATATACTAAACTGCTTGTGAACAAAATGAACTTAAGGTTTAAACTGTTCTGAGAGAACTGGCAGCTTGCAACCTTTTGTCCTCTTGAGTAACAGTAGGGGTCAGCGTTGATTGTATAGAAAAGCATTAGGAAAGTGCATGAACTGTGCCTGCAGGCATGCAGCTGAAGCTGTCTATTATGAAGGTATCTTATGAACTGGTAGTAAAAAGGTAATCTGTCTCTATTGATTTTGGTTTGGTTGGCCCAAACCTGCATGCACTATGGCCAATAGGAGTGATGTTTGAGAGGCTGTGCAATTGAAAGTTAACCAGGGCTACTCTCATCTCCACTATCATATTCTGCGTTTGATTGAGTTTACCAGAAACCAGCAAACATTCAGCATGTACATGTATAAAAATACAAAATTTATACCTTTTTCAAAAAAGTCAGCAAAGACAGACCCACTTATTGTAGACTGTTGTTTCTGAAATATAATGCAGAAATCCCTGAACTAAAATCTGTAATTGATACATGATTGGTTAATTCTGCCCACTCTTGAATGTGACATCTTGTGTATAGGAATTGATAGAATGTTACCGTAATGGGAGGGGACAATGGGGATGGGGAGTTAAGATGCCTTATTCAGATTTAACAGCTGCCTTTTAAATCTGGAAATTGCCTCTGCTGTAGCCTTGGCTTGTCTGTCCATCAATGGCTGTATGCTTGTCTCATTCTGCCAGTGCCCTTAGTTTGATGTAGCTACTCTTGTTTCTGGTTAATTGGTTTTTGAAGCTGGAGCACCAAAAATTCAAATTGTGCAACAGAGGTCCTAAAAACTAGAGTCCTGGGAAGCTGGTTTTCATGTCCCAATTGATGTTACTGCTTGATGATAATTTGATACTGGAACTATTTTGCATAGAATCTACCTGATCGACGGTTGCCCATTTCTGTAAATATTTTAGCCGTGAATCGTTTTTGATACTGGATAACTATTTCATCTTGTGTCTTGTTAATTCAGCAAGGACATGTTGGTTACTAACTTGCATAACTGCATACCCATAATTAAGGTCAATATTAAACTGCATCAGTATTCACAAAATTGTCCCATATCATGAGTAGCCTTCTTAATTTACCTCATTTTCGTAGGTTAGAATTTATTGAATAAATGATTGGGGGGGGGGGGGCAGTTGTCTTTTTACTCAAAAATTGACACTTATGAAGTCAAATATTAAAGTCTTATCTATATGAAATAATGAGGTTTTAGGTCCTTTTAGTTGTTATTTGTGACTATTTCTGAAGATATACATTTCATTGACAGTGATTCGCATTTTGCCGAAGATCTAGTTAAAAGCTGTTAGCGTTGCCTTCCTGTTTAGCAGTAGGTTGTAAATTTGGCCAGTTTTGCATTTTCGGGTTCAAGCCTATGAAAAAAAAACGTGTCAAGAAATCGCCTTAGTTTAATGTTCCACGGCCTGTCGCGACAGTTCTTCGAGCAATACTGAAATCCGTTCCTAGTGAAGTACTGAATATGACACACAAAAAAATACAACTCTGCACCGCGGACCAGGTTAATACACCTGAACCCCTTCCGGGTCTACGGACTATTTAGCAGTGGTCCACTTCTCGTACTTAAACCGCACTATTAAATAACGGATCTAGCCGGTTCGACCGTTGCTGCTGTTGCTTTTTCAGGTATTATGGATATAAAATTTACGATCACAAACTAAATGTCTGTCACTCCAGCAGCAATGACGTTATACAGGCGAATCTGATGGGGGCGTGGTTGTGGCCCGCGTCACGTGGTTTCTTGTTTTGGTTCTTGTCCGAGTTCCGGGCTCGTGTCGCTGATCCCCGGGCCGCTCGCAGTGCATGGCTGCAGCAGCTGTGTCGACTGCCTGGCTTCGTAGCATTTTCCGCCGCAGCGTACTGTCCCTTAGATCCACCTCCACGGTCGACATGAACCCCACGGGCTCGGCGGTGTGCCGCTCACTTCTGGAGCGCCTTCCATTTCACAACTTGGCGCTGAGGAGGCTTCCGCTGGACCCTTCCTTGGAGCCAGGCGTGAGGGAAGTACGGGGCGCCTGCTTCTCCCGCGTTCAGACACAGCCGCTGCTCAGCCCCAGGTTCGTTGCAGTGTCCGAGCCCGCCCTGGCTCTGCTTGGGCTTAGCGTCCAGGACGTGCTGAGCGATCCGCTCGCCCCGGAGTATCTCAGCGGATCCAAGATCATGCCAGGCTCCGAGCCGGCCGCTCATTGCTACTGCGGACACCAGTTCGGCTCATTCGCTGGACAGCTAGGCGACGGAGCTGCTTGCTACCTGGGCGAGGTGAAAGCCCCCGCGGATCAAAGCGAAGATCTGCTGCGCGAAAACCCCTCTGGCCGCTGGGAGATTCAGGTGAAGGGCGCTGGGCCCACACCCTATTCAAGGTACTAAAGTAGAAAGTTCATGTAGATTTTAAGGAGGAATTTCAAAATCATACTGTCAATGCATTATATTCACTTTTGGAATGGTGTGTGTGCGCGCGCGCGCCTACCATGGATAGGCATCTCGGGTCTGTCATGTTTTGTTTCTGAGATACATATTCCATTGCTCAGATCAGAAGCCCATTTGCTGAAACAAATGGCTTTTGGAACAGTTCCTGTTGATTAGCATCTGCAGTGGCTAGTGACAACAACACATGTCTTTCAGACAAGCGGACGGCCGCAAGGTGCTGCGCTCCAGCATCCGGGAGTTCCTGTGCAGCGAGGCAGTGTTCGCCCTGGGGATTCCCACCACCCGTGCGGGCTCACTGGTCACCTCTGACCTCCATGTACTGCGTGACGTCTTCTACGACGGGCGGGCCCGCCGGGAAAGGTGCTCTGTTGTCCTGCGTATCGCCCCCACTTTCATCCGGTCAGTACCGGTTTTCGTTTTAGTCATCTTTATCACTGATTTCCGCTTTGTATTGGGCCACAGGGTTGAAAATGAATGAGTGTAGTGGCTGATTTTTTTATTCTAGTTTGTTGTGGGGTCTATGACCCTTTCCCTCAAAACTAGGAGAGACCCTGTTCTAAACACAATTCTAACTTAACTCGCTGAGGTAGGGAGAGAGGGAGGCAGAGAGAGGGTGTTGAAGGACCTTTGGATTTTTTATATTTCTCTGGAGCACATCCAGTTAAGAGCCCAGTTACATTTCAGTGGATGTCAGTCCATTTTAGTCTGTCCATTAAAACTGTGTCGTTACTCTTATGGGGGGATCCTGGCAAGGGCAAGAAGGGCAGTTACCCCGGGGGTGCCAACTTAGCCAGCCAATTTTACTTGCATGTGGTGCTCACTATTTGATACAAAGTGAAATTGGCCGGCTCGCTCCCTTAGAAGAACTCGCACCCTTAACAGTGCCAGCAGAAAACAGCTCCCCCAGGTGGGGTGCAGACTTAGCCAGCTGATTTCACTTTGTCTCAGACGATCAGTGCCTTTGGGGGATCCAGAGCACTGGCAGTGATGCTTGCCTAGGGCACCACATGGGCTATGACCGGCCCTGGTTATCATAGTAACTGATAACTGCAATTAGTATTGCCCATTACATCACAAGTAGGGTTCAGGCACTCTGGTGAGGTTACCAGCATCCCCACATTTGTATTCATGTTTGTGAAAAGTGAACAATGTCTAAATGTACACAACCCAGTTGTGGGTTATTACAATATACTGTGGGTGGAATTAAACTGATGTAAATGTGTTATATTGTTTGTTTGTACTTGCAAGCCTTTAGTTACTGGATGATCACCTGTGCTAAAATAGAGCTGGTTGATCCCTTGTTTCTCTTCACTGTTTTTGAGCGTAGATGATTTGGTTGTGACAGCTCTCTGCAGCTATCTTGATTGCTTTGCTCTGATCACATGCATGCGTCTCTGTGCAGATTTGGGTCCTTCGAGATCTTCAAGCCGGCGGATGAGTTCACCGGTCGCCAGGGCCCGAGCGTTGGCCGGGATGACATCCGGGCCCAGCTCCTCGATTACGTCATTGAGACGTTTTACCCAGAAATTCAGCAGAGCCACACAGACAGGGAGGCGCGAAATGCTGCCTTCTTCAGAGAGGTACTGGAGGGATGCTATTGGCGGAATGTGCAACTCTATATTGATTATTATAATGTGCCAGTATTTATTTAGATTGTACCATGTTGGTTCAGTCCAGTAAAAGACCACAAATCCACTCTATAGTCATATCTGCAATCACCATGCTCTTGCATTATGGGTACTCTGTACTGTACTCTGACTTGTCTTGTATATATTAAAATACACACTTTTTTCAATACCAAAAGTTTGAAAATATTTTGTTAGTACTGCAGTACAGAAGCCTGCACAAAATTTACAAACAATGAAAGGCCTTTGTTTATTGTCTTCTCCATACAGGGAATTCATATAGTTTTTGCACTGATCCGCCGCTACAGATCTCTTTAATACAATAAGTGAAAAGTATTTGATGGTTCTTTTTCAAGCTTTGGTCTGGAAATGTGCTCCAAAACTGAGGCAGCCCCAAATGGTGATAGCAAAGGGAAGGGCAGTTTTAGACATTTGATACCATTAGTCTGATAACTGAAAAAGTAGTTGATGGATCTTTTTCAAACTTTTCAGTCATATTGTATGGGGGAAGAGCTGGAAATGGTCAAATTGAGCCATATTGCAACAAAATTGAAACTGCACAGCTTACTGGCAGCAAAACAAAGTGTGACTGCATTCAACATTTGACCTTATGAATGTAAAAAGTCTAAACGTATTTGTTGGATATTAGTACTGCTTCACAGAAACATTATATAGATAAACCTAAAGCTTAATTTAATTTAGAGCCATTTAGACAAGTTGCTTAGAGATTCACCATATACCAGTTCACGTAATGGTATTGGCCGATATTCATTAAAAATTAAAATATCAGTATTTGCCTTATGTGTCAGTCTTGGCCGATTATCTCCAGTCAATATGTTAACTTTATTGGTATATAAAGCTAGCAACACCAGAGCTAAACACATAACTACTATTTCATCTGGGGGGTACAATGAAAATTATTTGTTAAACTTTTAATGCTTGATTATTTACACTGGACTGTTTGGGTTTCAACCTCACATGGTCTCAGCTGTACAATCTTAGTAAAATTAGGTTGGTTTGGTTGGAAATGGACTTGTGGCTATAGATTTTTTTTCCCCAGCAAGACGTGCTACCTAGGTTGCTCAGGTATCGTGTGCAGCTTTTATTTGTGCAAGATGCTGTGGGTAAAAGTATTTGCAGAGATGTAATGTAGATAACATGATGTGTTATCCCCTGTGATCCAGGTGACACGGCGCACAGCCCGACTAGTGGCACAGTGGCAGTGTGTGGGCTTCTGTCATGGCGTCCTCAACACAGACAACATGAGCATCTTGGGACTGACTCTAGATTATGGCCCCTTTGGATTCATGGACAGGTGGGCTGCCCCTTCCTTTCAGCATTGATCTGGCAGAGTCCTTGTGGTAGAAAAATGATAAATCCCCTCTAATGAATAAAGCACCGGACCTTTCAGTTGGTGAGCAAAGTTATCTCCTTTACCTGAGCAATCCAGCAAAGTGCTCCCGTCACACTCTGGCACCAGGTACCCGGAGCACCCAGTTGATAAACCATAGTCCTCAGTTAATAAGGACTTCTAAGTTCTGGGGGGTATTTTGCGTACGTGGATTACTCATTTAGCCGGATGTAACTGGTGACGATTTAGCATGATCCTGGATCTGTCTGTTTTCCGAGACTCTTGCCGGATGTGTTGTCATAGCAGCACACCCAAATCCTCAAACCTGCTCGGAGCAGGTTTGTTCTACGTTAACAAGGATTAGCTCACACACTTAATCAGTGTCCGTGCATGGAAATTCATTGAGTCATGGCTTCGCCATTTATGGATGAGCGACCAATTGCAACCAGTGCACAAATAATAAGAAGGGATTTCAAATTGAGAGGGTTTTGCACGATCGTCAAGATCCTTTTTTGTTGCCGGATGATATTCTTTTCAAAAGATACCACTTCAGCCAAGATGAAATATTATATTTTAAAAATTTATTAGCTCCGTATAATCCAATTAGGTGAGGTCGGACTCTCACAGCCAAACAGACCATGTAAATTGGAAACGTAATACTACATTCAAGTGATAAATACAATAGCTAAAAACTGCTTTCACATTTAATTCGTCGGACACTTTTGGCCAGCCGTCTTTTCTGGTTTGGGCCGCTTTTGATGTGTTTCCTTTACTACATATTAAATCTTTGAATTCGTCATACCCCTCTAATAAAAGGTCCTGCTCGGATTGCGTGAAAAATTGCGCCCTGTTTTTTGTCATTTTGTGGAAGCCAATAAAAGACTTGCCGATCAAGTTTTCTAGACTCTATGGGCTTTTCAAGCAGCACGGTCGCGTGTAATCATCTCGGATGAATGGATCTAACTAGACTAATCTACTACACAGCCACTTTTGAAAATCCAACTTATCCCGGATGAGTTTCACCGGCATTAACTCATCCAAGATGAGGCATCTGATCTCGGATGATGTAAGCGACATGCGGAAAATACCCCTCTGATTGAGCTTTATTTGTTAGTGCTTTGTGACCAAACGTATAACAAACACAATTCTCTCGCTCTATTGGTTCACCTTGGCAGCAAGGTAAAATCCACCCATTTTGCTAAATTTACCAGAACATGTCTCGACTGCTAGGCTCCAACTTGAGGAATGAGTATAGATAGTGATTATATGACATTGAATCACTGTAAATATTTGGTTTTCCTTCGATTAATGATTAACATATTGACATATTGTCATTGAATTACTGTAAATATTTGGTTGTCCTTTGATTAATGATTGACATATTGACGTATTGTCATTGAATCACTGCAAATACATCAGGGGTGGGGAACCTGATCCATGGAGAGCCGGTGCGGGTTTTTGGGATGGCCTCTCAATCAGCCAATAACAGTCGGTCCCCAGGACTGGAGTTGAGAACCACTGTTTTATTATTGGCTGATTGAGAGATCATCCCAAAAACCTGGCCCTCCATGGATCAGGTTCCCCACCCCTGAAATACATGGTTAACACATGATTAATATGATTATCGTAACAATTACTTATACATTTGCACTACCGCGTAACATATTGCGTTTGGCCTACTGCGACTACTTTATAACTAAAACTTTTTATGCACCAGTTGGGGCAGCTTCGAATCTCTTCCTGCAGGCGGTTTCTCTCTCTTCCCCCCCCCCCGGCTCCGCTTGTTCGTCTCACCAAGGTCCGAGCTCTCTTCTGGGTCTGCGGAACTAACCGCAGGCAGCTATCACGAAGCGAGGTCACACAGTATTCAAAGCAATCTCTTCTTGCCTGAAGCCTAAGACATAACAGACCCACTATGCCTCCCGTCCAGGGCCGACCAATGTCCAATTTCCCTTCCACATCCTCTTACATGGGATGTCTGTTCCCAGGACTGCCAAACGGGGCTGTTACATGAGGCAGGCTTTTTCGGGAAAACAGTCATTTAAGAGGCCAGTGGTTTTGTTTTTTAATACCCTAGAGTTGACACTTTGTTTTTGTTTCTCACGTAGTGTAAACAATGCCTAAGAAATCAAAAGTGTGGCTCCATGGGTTCCTGGCTGCGACCGTTTAGTCGCATTTTGTGACCATTTTTGGAAACAGTATAACTAAATGTTATAACTATGGCACACCAGTGCGATTTGTAAATATGCCCCCAGGTAGTGGCTGACCACATTGTCGTATATCGAGCGAGACCATCAGAACTCGGTCTGATTCAGTTTCTCAGAGGCACTTACAGTGATAATCTTGCTGATTGCTTGACCTCAAGCACGGGCGCTAACATGGAAGTTACGCAGACATACAGAAAAAAAGATGTAGTGGATGGAATTATTTTTGTACCTCAATATGATTGAATCCCTTTTGCCGGCATCTCCAGCCAGTGCCGGTGGTGAAATGTGCCACTGTTTATTAGCAGGGTAACATTACACTGTTTTTATTCCGTGGAAAATGAAATATTGATCTGCTGGCCAGATTTATTTGAGTTATAAACATGTCACGGGTCATATAAGCAAAATAAGGGCTCTCAAGTCTCATGCCAACCAAGGTGTCCCATTATATAGAATTAATGGATGAGACGCAGACATACAGAGTGGAGCTCTCCTCCGAGTTCAATGCTGTCCCGAATTATACAGATCTAATAGCCACCTACCAGCCAATCAGGAAATAGCATTTGTTGTTTCAGGGTAAATTCCAGAATAATTTACATGATCCCGCTTCAAGGATGTTATTACATGCATGTGCACACATATGGAGTGCAGACACGGTGGAAATGGCCGGGTAAGATCCAGTGAATGTGGTAGGCAGGGCTGTAAAGTGTCACGCGCTGACCCTGAGACATACGCTGCGTCCCTAACACATGTAATCTCACTCCAAACCTTTGATGAAATTTGAGAGCTCCGGTAAAATATAAATACAAGGACCCGGCAGCATTGAAAGACGTGGCAGAAATTAAATTATTTCGAAGTGGTTTAGGTGGTTTTGTCATTTTTCTGCCTCATAGGTTCGACCCAGACTTTGTGTGCAACGCTTCTGACAACATGGGTCGCTACTCCTACCAAGCTCAGCCGGCGGTGTGCCGCTGGAACCTGGCATGCTTGGCTGAGGCCCTCGGACCCGAGCTGCCGGAGGGCCAGGCACAGGCCATCCTGGATGAATACCTGCCCCTCTACAACACCTTCTACCTGGGCAACATGCGGAGGAAGCTGGGCTTGCTGAGGAAGGAGGAGGCCGAGGATGAGCTGCTTGTCACAGAGCTGCTGCAGACGATGCACAATACTGGTGTGGCTGAACGTCGGTCCGTCTGAAACCTGTGACCCTCACTGTATGTGGAAGTGCTTCTTGCATTCTGATAGCCGCTTATTAATCTTCCCTGTCTCATAATGCTCTCTCCAGGCGCTGACTTTACCAACACGTTCCGCTCCTTGAGCCAGGTACCTTGTCCCAAGGAGGGAGAGGTAGAGGCTGATGTCCTGGAGGCTGCAGTGAACCTCCTCCTGGAGCAGTGCGCCTCCCTGGAGGAGCTCAAGGCAGCGAACAAACCCACCATGGACCAACGGTGAGCATGTTTCATTTTTAAGAATTCCTCTGATTATACTTTTATACGATTGTTAGACAAACTTTTGAATGGTAAAAGGAGCTGGTTTCAAGTTCTTATGCTTGGATTTTTAACACCTGAGGTAGTTGTGTTAATAGTTCTTGGATTTCAAAAGAGTATCAAATATGAAATGTATTCAGTTATCTGTACTGGGTACTGATTTCATTTTTCTGTTTTCCATTTTCCCCCACCATCAGTGAACTGTTGATGATCTTGTCTTTAGCTGAGTCCAACCCAGCCATCTTCCAGCTGTTGGCTGGCAAGAAGATGGTTACCAGGCAGCTGGAAAAGCTTGCAAGGCTGAAGGAGCTCATGGATACCAACCAGGAGGTTCTGAGGTCCAAGCAGAGGGAGGATTGGACTCGCTGGATGAAACAGTACAGGTCCTGAAGCACAGACCCTACTAGGTCATACAGCAGAGTCCAGAGAGGTCAGAACCTGCTAGGTCAGACAGTGCTGGTTCCAAGGGACCCACTGGATTGGTAGTGCAGTAGGTCATCTGAAGCTCTCTTGCTGTTGGCTGTATCATCCCAAAGTTTTTGGCAAGATACAGGCTTAATGGCAGTTAAGGACATCAGATAAACTCATGCAGGTGTTGATGATGTGATGTCGACTTGGGAATCTGGAACACAGGTATTCTGAATGTGGTCCTACCAGGGAGCGGCCTGCACCTAATGAAGGTGAAGTCTACTGATATGGATGGTGAATTTGCAAATGCGGGGGATCTTCAGCAAATGGAGAGAGCCCTAAGAACAGAAGAGCATTTGCAAGTGGCAGCTGTCCTGAAGCTATAGGATTTAATGCTTAATGATAGTTACAAACAGTATGATGTGCTGATGTGTGTCTCATTGTAGGAGGCGCCTTGCCCAGGAGTGCACTGGATTGGATGATGTCCATGCTGTGGAGGAGGAGAGGGTGCGGGTAATGGACAGCACAAATCCCCGGGTCGTGCTCAGAAACTACATCGCCCAGAATGCCATCGATGTGGCTGAAAGTGGTGACTTCTCAGAGGTTGGTCTCCCTATTGGTCAGTTAGGCAGATGCAAGTAGCTTTGAGTCCAGGGAACCCATCAAACTGTACTGACACGCCGGTGCCCCTTTGAATGCAGGATCCACCTCGGTATACAGTATACAGCAGCAGTCTGTTGTGTGCTTTTTAATAGATGTTGTCCTTGTTGAGCTGCCTCTTTCTTCACTGATACTTCAAGCTTCCTTATCTTTCCATGTATTTCCAAAACGGTAGCATGAGGTGTGCTCAGCTAACTCAGCCAACCTTGCTGTGCTTCGGTTGGGCATAGGTTGTTTTTGAAAAACTACCGTACAATTAATTGGAATTCCATTCATTTCTGTGATGTGATACGCTGTGATGTGCCGTCGAGCAATGTTTCTTGTCAAAAGTTTATGTATGTCTCTCGTTTTTTTGTTTTATATGACGATAAGCACTAGCTGTTTTGAGGGTTCTCAAACTGATAAACCAGTGACTGAATTTTGAAGATGACGTACGGTGTCACAGATTCTGTAATCTCAAAATACGTACAAAGAAAAAAATAGAACTGGTGAATTCTTATTAATACTTCCTGTGTCTTTCGCCTCCAAGGTCCAGCGGGTCCTCAAGGTTCTGAAGAAGCCTTTCTCTACTCAGCTGGACTTGGAAAAGCCCGGCCTGGTGGCCCAGGGTGGGATGATGGAGCAGGGAGAGAGGGATGAGGGTGGGGCAGGGGAGGAAGGTCAAGGGGCCACCTCCAGACCGTTTGTATGCTATGACAGCAGGCCTCCAACCTGGGCCAGTGAAATTTGTGTTACCTGATCATCATAGTGCCTCTCTGACGAACACATCACTTGACTGTGAAAACAGGGGATGGTTTCTGGTTAAGAATTGTCCCTAAGAACTAATCTGAAATCAGATAATCCAATAGCCCCCATTTTCACAGATTCTTCAGGTGAATTAATGTCTAGGGAGGTCGTTTTTGGCGTAAGGGCTTCTGTTAGCCATTCCAGACCACAAAGATGGAGAGGGAAAAATGAATGTAAGGCCAGTGAGGATGTTTCCTACCAAAAGTCATGAGACGCCCATCTGGTTGCAGGGAAATGCAAATTATTTATACTATCAGTGCAAAACCATTACAGACTTTATCATGGGTGAGTTTTATTAATAAGTTGGAGTGGAACATGGTCCTTCCACCTTCCAAGAATTAATACAAGTCTTCAATAATACATTTAATCTGCAATTTGGGCAGGAAGTATGTTACTAAATTCCTTTCATGACCAGTTATCTCCATTGACTGGAACCGTATTTGTGCAGGAAAAGCTGTACTAGCCAAACTACTTCTGTATTTATCAACTATATACATACAAATGATCTCACCTGAAGTGCTGCTACTTCTATTGCTATAAACGTAATATCAATATGAAAAGCTTTTGGTGAGATGTAGCCTGGCCTCAACCCCCCATCTCCATCATTGTGTGTTGGTTTGGTTAGAAATGAAGGCTCAGACACCAAGTCCTTTTGGGATCTGTCTAGAGTCCGAGAACAGGAGTGCCCTTCTCCAGTTTCAGCACGCGCACGCGCTCGCACACACACACACACAAGAGTGTCTGATCAGGAACTGCGTAGCTAAGAAGGCGTCCATCCAGCATCATTCCTTTTTGGTGTTGAGCCTTTCCAGAATGGTTTTGGTTACAGTTATGTGAGCTCTGTCACTTTTCAGCAAATATTTTAAAATCTTTGGTTTGGATTGTATTGTGTTTTGTAATTCAATAGGAGCTATAGGACTTGTAGCACAAACGTCTTAGGCAGTCAAAGCAAGAAAGAAAGAAAGTCGATCTTTGTGTTGTTGTCAACTGTCAAAGTTTGTTAGCTAGGCCATTTCAACACCTTTGCTAACAGAATATCGGTAACTTTTTGGGTAACGCTGGGGCACTAGGAGGTGAGTTTTACATGCACAGACGTTAACGGATGGCAGGCTTAAGTGAACCAGGCATTTCTGTCTGAGTGTGTTAACATAAAAGAAGCATGAAGGCAGCTGTATCCACATTCTACACTCATGATACAGACTAAGAGCTGCCCTTTGACAGGTAGGCGGTAGGTAATACCCGCTCCTGCCGGAGGTAGGTAATACCCGCTCCTGCCGGAGGTAGGTAATACCCGCTCCTGNGGTAGGTAATACCCGCTCCTGCCGGAGGTAGGTAATACCCGCTCCTGCCGGAGGTAGGTAATACCCGCTCCTGTCGGATGTAGGTAATACCCGCTCCTGTCGGATGTAGGTAATACCCGCTCCTATCGGCAAACTTAATCATCAGCATCCCCCGGCGCAAATTTAATCTGACTACGGCCAGAGCCGAATATCAATATTGGGGTTGAAACATTTAATTTCTTTGTACAAAATTTAAAAAAAATCAGTGGTGTCCCCCGTCCCGACTTCTTTCAATGGCTACGATTTTGGTGAATGGGTGGGATTTTTGCTTGTTCTAACCAGAAAACCTGCACTTAGACCTGCTCAGATAAGTTTGGGCATGCAGTGACAATATACTAAAAGTGAGCGATGATTCATAGTACCCAAAGCTCAGAAGTTAGCCTCCAGAAACTTCACTAAGCCAGTTAACCGCTCTGTAGTACACTCTTCAGAAGAAATGTGTTCATTTTTATACTTTAAATTGTCAGCTGGTTAATTTCCATATATATTCTAACTGTGGGGTTTTCTTTGAGCAAATATACAATTACTACCTGGTTGAACAACTGTAAACATTTTCTTTGACTGCCTAAGACTTTTGCACAGTACTTTACTCAAGTGCAATAGGAATTTTTTAAGGTTTTTTTTTTTTTTTTTGGCGGGGGGGGGAGGTATTTGGGTTTTGCTGCGTGATTGGCGGTTTCAGCTATCTGCAGTTGCTGACACTGCAGGAAAATGCAAGCTGAGTCACATGTCCTCAATGCCAGTTTTCAGTCACAGCTTTTATTACCGATATATTAAAGTAATTTTCCTTTCCAAGTGACCTAACATTTTTTTGCATTTAATAAGCTATATAGAATTTGGTCTTAAAGTAATTTTGATACCAGATCATTTATACAACTTTTGCAGCAATCTTCATAAAATGATGACATTCAAGGGTCTAGTTTTATATTTTTATGAATCTTTCAGTATATGAATTGCAGGATGTGGTTGAATATTCTTTCAGAAATGGTGAATAAAGCACCTTTAATATGATGTTTCTTGTGCTTTGAGTTTATGTTCATCTAACTTACTTTGAGTAAGATGAGGGTGATTGTAACAATGGTCAGTTGCAATGTGTCTAATTCCTCTAATCAGAACATAACATAACATGCATAACATTCTATAATCCAATTAGAGAATAATCTCCCAGCTCCTTTAAAATCCAGGTGTGCTTGCACTTTGGCTGATTGCTATTATACTGGTGGATTTGCAGAGGAATTGAATCTGCCCTCATGATAACAAGCGGGTTACGTGTGCTTTGCACCCACCTATGTTGGCCCATATTACTATTTTGATAGCATGCTGTAATGCAGTCGCTTTCCGCTGCCTCAAGTCAGCAATGTGTCAATTTACCGAACTGCACCTCATTTTAAGATCGACATTCCCCAATGCGCTCAGGTGGGTGCAAGTACGTTTGCTATTTAAACAACATGACAACTATATCGGGCTCATATTAGCAAAGACACTAGCGTCTGATGCCAGGTATATTATTGGGCAGATTGTGTCAAGCTGGCACTTTAGTTTTACCCAGGGATAGTGGCGACGTGTTGTAACAACAGAGGAGGACATCTGCATTGTTAGCCTGGAGAGTTTCTCTCAACCCAGAGAGTTATGACCGAAATGCTGCCCGTGCAACGCGTAGGCTTACTAGGCAAGCGCTGATGAAAGTGTGGCTTATATCTGCCATACCCCCCCCCCCCCTCTCTCCATATATATATATCATATAATATAATATTGTTCAGTTGCATTTTGTTGTTCAAACATCGCTTTCCGCTGCCTCAAAATAGCAAAGCGACAACAATGCACCTGAATTCATCTCATTTTAAAACCCACGCGCACTTCAATTTAATGTCATTTGTTAAAAAAAAAAAAAAAAAAAAAACCAACAAAAAGCTTTCTCAGATGTTTCATTGTTTTCAATTTCTAGGTCTTAGAAGAAACTAAAATTCTCATTCTAATTTATTGTCACCATTCAATAAAAGGTTGAACATTATTGACACATTTACAGTTGTTCTATCACTGCAATGTGGTTAGATTAGTTGCCTGCTTGGCAACATCTTTGCATTGGGCAGGCCTTCTCTATGCACACACACGGGGGGGAAACAAAGACGTTGATTAGTACCAATTTAATCAATTTTAAAAGATGTTGCAGCCATCCCCAGATACTGATGAATCTGTCCCCACGTAGGGGACATTATGAGGTTGCAACATAAATGTCACTTCAAACATAACTTTTAAGCTTATTTAGACATATTTTAATGATGTGGGTTTATCCACCCATCCATTTTCTGTAACCACTTGTCTTTCAGCATTGGGCGCGGGGGGATCCGGAGCCTTTCCTGGAAGCCACAAGGCAGGGAACCACCCAGGATGCCAAACCAGAGCTGGGCACACTCACACACCATCCACCACACCTGCAGCCAATTTGGTAAAATCAACTTCAGCATGGGTTTTGAACGGGGGGGGGGGCATGCAAACTCCACACCGGGGAGCCATGTTAGAGACTTGAACGCTAGTCACAGAGGTGTGAGACGACAGTGCTAAATACTGCGCTACTATGCTGCCTCAGATGTACGTGTAATACATTACAATGTTGTTGGTCTATGGCAAAAAGGCTCTCAGTAATTGGGTAAAATGCAAAAAGCAAAAAAATAAATAAATAAATAAATAAAAAAGCAAATGCAAAAATCCTCCCCACCTAACATGGTTAAGGAGCATAATAGATTAATGTACATGAATACGTAATTTTTAATTGTGACACATATGGATTGGCATCATCCACTGAAATGGGGTTTGTATTTTTTTTATGTGAAATAAATGTTGAATATTAAACTAACTTTACCTCGGTGCACATCAATAATAATATTATAGCTTCACGTAGCAATGCTTACACGAGATTCTAGTCTATGGCAGGCAGTTTACGCGTCTTTGGGAGAACTGGGAGAGCCTGCGAATTAAAGACAGTGAATTTTAATTTAATTTAATCCATCAAGTAATAATAAGCAAATCGGTTTGTTTCGTTTAGCGTTCGGTCCTAGAAGAGTGTACTTAAGTAAAAGTAATTCCTTCTGAAATCGGGTATCTGAAGACACACAAAAAGGCATTGTCTTAGATGACGGCTCCATCCAGCAAGTCCGAGAAATGACTGCGCCTTTTTAAGTATCTGATTACTTTGCTCATGAATGTCTCCTTATTTTCTAAGAGTGCACTTGACCCTAGATGACGCTTATTTTCGGAAGAATCGTCTTGGGTTGGGGCATCGTATGTTTTTCTTACGTTTCAGTTCCCATAAACGTACCAATGTGACTTTCGAGAATTTTGGAACAAGGTCACTTTGTTTTCACAAACAGCAGTAAGCGACGAGTGATGTTTTAAAGGGGCGGTGACATTGTTGCTTAAAAGTACAATTGGCCAAAATCCTCAAGGTATTTCCGGGGTACTTCGGTATGACTGCTCTGGTAAGTCGACAAGTGGATGCACAAGAAAAGTTTCCAAGAAAGTAATTTTTAATGGTAATTAATGACAAAGAGTTTCATAATTCAAGAGTTTACGCAATACTAGCCTACGTGCTGTAGCTTATATACAACCGTACAAAAATATATTAGTCTTTGTTATTATTATTATTATTTTGCACTTTATATGTAAAATGGAGTTTTTTCATTACTAAAAAAGTACGCATAATACTGTTTTGTCACTCTTTAAAAATGCTTTTGACTTTTAATTTGTTGTCGATAAGACAGATTTTATCAAGTTTCATTCTTTCAAGTAGCATATTAGACCTATGCAATGGAGTAATCATAATGGAATTTAATTTTAATAGATTTAGCTTTTATGCTATATTGTTTAGATTACATAAATTGTGACTTAGATTTCAGTGATCAGTACAGTGTAATACGCATATCAGACTATGACTCCCACCTGTTGGTAAGGGGTGGTACTGCTAGCTGAGGTGAGGATTTGGATTTTAATGCATGACCTTATTCATCGTATTTTTCTTTCTTTCTGTAGACAATGGGGCAAAAGGCCAATTTGATTGGACTCCCTTTCCTGGTTCTGCTGTTTGGTATCGTAGCTCATGTAAGGACACGCCTGCACTTGAGGAATCGATACTCTGGTGTCTGGGGAATATAAGAATTGTGCAGTGTAACAAAACATCTGGCAGGTTGTAGGGGGAGAGTCGAGGGTATTTCTCCAGGCTCAAATAATTCTATTACAGGATAGATAAGGACACTGGCTCCTTTTATAGGCAACTTAACTCGCAAAAATGTTTACAACATTTGTGATGTTATCCTTCCTTCACTTTTCATTCAAAAATACTTTAAAATCTAAAAAATAATCAAAAAGCTTTGTAAAGCATTGTATCTGTTTCAGTTAACTACTGTAATTAAATTCAACAAGCGTGTATCTAGACTGTTTAACTCAATTCACTTGACTGTCTCATTGCAGGCTCAAACACCAAGCTCTGTTGCTCAGGGTAAGTGCTTTTGGACACTTTCAACATGCTATTGACATTAGTCCTTTTACTTTAGCATTTTAGCCTTGATTTGCTAATCTGATTGACCAAGCTCCCCCCATAATCTGCCTGATTGCACAGTGACTCCTGCGCTACCAGCAACCCCAATGCAGTAGAACTAATACACTAATTCGCCCTCACAGGATTTTTATATTCTGTTTCCACAAATTTTTACTGTGGTACTTGCACTATCATTACTGCTGGGCATTTCATACTCTTCACACAGTACTGTTTATAAAGCATACTCTGCTGTCCACACACTCTGCTAATAATATTTATTATTTGCTTTTTTGTTGTACTGTACTAGTTCTGATGCTGCTTTCATTATTTATTATTTTAGTTCATTTATTGTCAGTAAATCGTTTTGAGTATGGAAGCTGCAACCTAGTCTCGTTGTAATCATGCAGTGACAATAGAGGTATTTTACTACTACTTCTTGTGTTATACTAATTCGAGCCTTCCGTCCTTCAGGTCTTTAAAGTGGACCAATTTGCGATTGCTTTCCTGTTTGTTTCAGGGACTGATTGTACTCAGATAAAGGCGCAGGCTCCTGGAGCTGATAGTGGCTTATACTGGATCAAGCCTCCTGGTGTGGAACAGCCCTTCCAGGTACCATTCCCAGTTATTAAGTGGACAAGTAAAAACATTCAGCCTATATGAATGCTGTGGTAGAACCACCCATTTTTCGTAACTGCTTATCCAGTGCGGGGTAGCAGTGAGCCTGGAGCCCTGCTGTAAACACAGGGCATGAGTCAGGGGAACACCTGTCGCTGTGGCTAAGGGCGGTAAATGTAAATGAACACTGAATGGGATGTCAGCCTCTTGCAGGGCACACACCCACGTACAGTCAGACACTAGGGGCAGCTTCGAGGCACCAGTAAGCCTGAATTACATGTATTTGGACTGCAGGAGGAAACCAGAGTATCCACATGGACACGGGAAGAACATGCAAATTGCACACGCACGCACGCGCGCGCACACACACACACACACACACACACAGAGACAGTTGTGTAAACATATCTTTTTGGGGACCGGTCATTCATTTCTATGGGAAAAATGCTAATGCTAACTATGACAAGCTTAATCCCTACCCAGCCCTAACCATAACCATAAACAACCAACAAAATAAAGTTTTTTCATTGCAGTCACGGATTTTTATAAAATAAAAATATGGGAAACAGGAAACTGGTCCCCATAAGGTAAAAAAAAAAATGTGTATTCATCACATTGTGGGGACATTTCGTCCCCACAAAGTAAGGTATACCTGGACCACAGACACACACACACACACACATATCTGGAGACAGGCCATTGTGTCATCAGAGTGCAATTAATAAAATCTCCAACTCTTTTTTTTTTTTTTTTTTTTTACTGTTACTCTTAATAACCCAAAATAATGACTGATGGCCCTGACCTTCCCAGCTGTGTGTGTGTGTGTGTGTGTGTGTGTGTGTGTGTGTGTGAATTTTTGGAAGCAGGCCTAAATCTATCAAATATCAATGGTGTATCTGGGCAGCAGTAACCATGCAAACTTTGTTCAAGCTAATTATTAATGAGACCGGACAGCATAGCTAAAGGATGCATGCTGCAGTGGAAATGTTTAGTTACCAGTCTGTTTTTATGGATTAAAATGTTTGTCGTCAGGTGTCCTGCGAGATGCTGGCAGACGGGGGATGGACCTTGTTTCAGAGGCGCACTGGCGGGAGTGTGCCCTTCAACAGGAATTGGGCGGAGTATAAAAATGGATTCGGAAACATACAATGTAAGGGTCACTCAAATCGGCAGTACTGGTTGTCTTTACAGCTGAAGTAGAAACTCTATTCCCAAGTTGCACATACTTGTTTGATAATTAACTCCAAACAGTTTGTGAAGTCTAAGTACTAGGATTGCACGGTAAACTGGTACTGAAAAAAAACACAAGTACTGGAACTTTGAAAACAGTACAATACTTTTATTATGTGAATGGCTATTTGTGATGGATGAAAGGAATGTATCCCTTTACGCTCAACACTGATTGGGATGTCGCTGCTTTAATGGTGCATTGCGGAAAATGAACAAGCAACGGCAAAGAAAGCGGTGCACTTTTTCACTTGGTTCAGATAAGAGATGGCAGCAGTTTCAGTCCGAAATGAAATACGGAGATGTTTCAACTATAAAGTGCATGAAAAAGGCGAAGCCCATAAACACGACTGTACAAGCGCTGTTTTAAAGTTTCTCGTTAAGGGAGGCAACATGTCGAACCTGGCCAGACGCCTGTCGAACAAACTTTCCAAACTTTCTAGGAATTCAAAGACCGACAGGTGGTAGTTGACTAGTTCGCTCCCCTGTCATGGCCAGGAAAGAAATCAGAGTGGTCGAAAAGCCTCTCCGCCCCAGTAATATACATATTCATACATATTCTACAGTGATATACGGTCCATTTCACGAGTGACCCGAACGCGCTGATTAATTCAACCAGACAGTTACTCCAACTGCTAATATTAAAGACAGAATGATGCTCGACTTGCTTTTTTGACTAATTTGCTTACGTTTTATTTTAACTGACCTGCCCGCAAATGACCTGAATATCATTAAAAAAACATTTTGGTTTTTAAATAAAACACAGTGACATTTGAGTGTTTCCCTTTTTGGGGGGGAAATGTAGGAGATCATCAATCAAAATCCATGACTTAGTTTTATTATTAAAGAAAGTTTTCTTGTCACAATACCAAAATTTAAGTACTCACACTGAGTACTAATAATGCATTTCATACTATGAGTTTATGCAGTGTATAATATAGTAGAGTATATCAATACTAACTAATTTTTATTGATCTGATCATTCTTTTTTGGTTTGTATCCAGCGCCATTGGAAGGGGGGGGGGGTACCCTCCAGTATTTAATTTGGCTTCATTTACCCCCCCCCATAAATAGACCTTTGCCTTTAGATTATTAAGTTGTGCCAACACCCCCCCCTCAGCTGACCATTGGCTAGGGCTGGAGCAGGTGCGGTCTCTGGTGCAGGACACTGGTCGACAGTGGACCTTGAGGGTGGACCTTTGGGACTTCGAAGGGGGCACCGCATTTGCGGAGTACAGTGACTTTCGACTAGGTAGTGAAGAGGAAGCCTACAACCTGACGGTTGGGGCCTTTACTGGCACTGCAGGTAAGTGTGACCTGGAACAGCCACCAGATGCCACAATCTTTGCCAAACTGCACATTTGGAGTAAATGTTCCTTTGTAAAGGAAACATAAAGAACAACATGCGAAAAACACAGCATTTATTTATTGTATTTAGATGAAAACTAAAGTGAAATCTAAAGTAGTAATAAAATAGCCAATAACGCTTTAAGTCAACCTTCATAATGCATTCATAGAACATTCATAAGCAGTGTGTAAGTATACCTTAACATCCTAACATCTCTTAACAGCTTTAATATACATTTTAGATTGTGGATACAAGCGGCAGAAATTAGTTGCCTCCTCAGGGAAGCTGGGCTCAGCCTTAGAGAGAGAGTGAGGAGCTCCGAACTTCAGGAGAGGCTCAAAGGAGAACCACTGCTCCTCCTCATGGAAAGGAGCCGGTTGAGGAGATGGTGGCTGGGAAGAGTGAGGTCTGGGCATCTCTGCTTAGACTGCTGCCCCATGACCCGATCCCAGATAAATGGCACATGATGGATGGATGGATGGATGGATGAAACAAACATTATAAAAAATTGTATTAATTAATGTATATTGAAACTGTTAAGGTATGTTAGGATGTCAAGGTATGCTTACATATTCACGTGACAAGAAATTATTGTGTAATTTAACCTCTATACCGCAAATGAAGTACGAATTAGCATATAAAGGTTAAAGTGCACGATAATTTCTTGTCATATCGACGCAAATGCACATAAAATACGTACGCATTTACGCTGTTACAACAATCGATTGCCACACGTATCGCTTTTAAAGGTGAATGCGTACTTGCGTACCAGTTATGCCAGTCCCTGTCTATAATCCTGCTCTCTGTGTTGCCCTCTTTCCCTGTTATGTTACTTTAGGATCCTTGCAGTTAGTTCCTGTTTTCCCTGTTTGCTTGATCGTCACCCTCATTTTTGCCTGCACTATGCCCCGCAGCCATGACGGCATTATGGAGATGCAGTTAATGTAAAGCATTACCAAATAACCTATAACTGGCAGAACCCTCCTCTGGATGTACCTGATGGATTGCAGTGTGTTTACCATTAGGGGGACAAACCCATATCAAATGGTACATCACCATTTGTATATCAAATACTGAAAAAGGAACTGCGTATAGAATTTTCAAATTATAGAAATCTTAAAATTTGATATGAAGTAATGATCCAGTACATAATTTGGGAACAGTACAGTGTAGCTGATTAGGATTTTATTTTGAAGGAACAATTGATCAAAATTGACAGCTCATACAGAGTGTTACAACCCAAAAGATATTTGTGGGTTTGAATCAGAGCCCTGGGTAGCATATATGCAAACATTTGTCACGGTCATATACATGTATTTGTTTGTGAGATGGAAAAAGCGACCGCTAACATGCCTCTTCCCTGCCCGCCCTGCGGCACGCGTGCATCCCGTCCTGTGTCTGTGGAGGTGATGCCATCCGTGGAGCCTATGAAGGCATCGACCAGAACGGCTACGGCTTCAGCACCAGCGATCGGGACAACGACGGCTGCTCCCCGTGCATTTTTGGGGATATCGCGGAGGATGATTGCAGCTGGTCGGAGGGGGGTGGGGGCTGGTGGTACAGCCGCTGTGGCTCCGCCAGTCTCCACGGTGATTGGCACCCTGGCGACGACAATGTGGGCTGGGCCTCTGGCCTCCATTGGAGAACTTGGAATGGCCCCGCCCCCTACTCCGCCAAGGCCACACGCATGATGATCAAGGCACAGTGACTGAAGGTCCACTCCTTCACTACTGTCACCAAAGTTTCCCTTATGTCATAACATTCATATAAGTTAAGTTCAGTAACTTTTCTAACTAGAGTCTCTTTAATTCAAAGTCTGTCTTGCAAATACCTGGGATTCATTCATGCATGCATGCATGCTCTTAATATAGTTTACAGCCATACAGTCAAAATTTTAAGTGGCACTGCATGCTTTTAGAAAGAAACATTGCCAAAATATGCGGAATCGATACAAATGGATGAGGCTGGGTTCAGATCTAGTGTGATGGTGTGACTTTTGTGACATTAACACTTTTTGTTGGGTTGGTACTAACTATTGGCTGTAGTGGCTTCCTTTTAAATAAACTCATTTGTGAAACATAGGATTTGGTGGTATCATTATAACGACATTGAAGTGTTCATTAGAGAGCAGAATAATCTACCTGTATGCTGGAGTATACTGGAGAAATAAAGCAATGGAAAATGGCATTTTGTGCAGTCAATAATGTGTAGTAATCCCAGTAGAGAGAGAGAGAGAGAGAGAGAGAATCTCCAGTCCAAGCTGTATCCTTCCCTCACCAATAGTTTTGTTTATTACAACTATAAAAAGATGCATAATGGTATCTAGCCTGGAGATAAATCAGTGGTTCTTATGGAAAGTATGGCTTTGTGTTTTGGTTTCCTCCATAAAACAAAAATAGAAAATGCAGCCGGACTACCTGGCCGTGGATTCACCATTATAAGCTCTTCATATCAGTGAGCTATACACCAGTACATTTGCATGTATGTGCAGCAATAAAACTAACATTGGACTTTTATTCAAATCTGTGACAATATTTACATGCTTTGCCTGGACATTGTCACAAAACTCCCCACACAACTGAACTGAATCACTGGAGCTATAAGCCAGCAGGTTAAGTGGACATTCTACTCACTTTTAAAACTTGTAGATGTGTGTGTTTGCATAGGTGCCGTAATCTATGATCCGTTCTTTCTCTCGCAGGGACAATGTGGTGCTTCTTTGTGTTTGCTCTACTTCTGGGTAAGTAATATCAGTATTATGCCATTTTTCTCCATCATTAACCTGAACCATTGGCATTGGGATATATTTGTATGATCAGCATAATTACCTGTTTGTACACACGCAAAAACTTCAAATGAGATGTGTTGGAGAAGTCGCTCTATTACCACTAACATGGATCAAGTCTCACGGTGTTCCTATGAGAATCACACTCTTCGGAGTTTGTGACTGTTACATGCTTTATGCCTTTCACTTCCCTGACCTGAACTCCATCAAACACCTTTGGGATGAACTAGAATGGAGAATGAAAGCCAGGCCTTCACCTCCAACATCAGTGCCTGACCTCACAAATGCTCTTCTGGGTGAATGGGCAAAAACTCTCACAGACACACTCCAACAATTCATGGAAAGCCTTCCTAGAAGAGTGGCAGCTGTTACAGCTGCACAGGGGGAACCAGCTCCATATTAATGCCTATGTATTTAGAATGGGGTCTCATAAAAGTTCCTGTAGGTGTAATGGCCAGGTGTCCAAATAGCACTGACTGCTACAGTAGCTGTAGCAGCTTTCTACTGGCATGCTATTCACATCACTGCCCTTTATTATTACCGTGGAATACTTTGCATTTATTTGTTTCCCACAATTGCTGAAAATGGAAGGATTCATCTCCTTCCCCACTGTGATAATTCCATTTTTTGATTTTAGCAAAATAAAAGCTTACACCTCATGGAGAATTATATACTTAAGTTGCTTTTGCAGCAGCACAGGCTGCTGAATGTATATTTCAGGTTGGCTATTTTCCTGGGGATATTCTGCACTAGAACCTGATTTGGTACCCAAAGAATGGTCTGCTGAGGTCCCAATCTACATTGCATCCAACCACCACCTTCCCCCCTGCAGAGGAGGCTGGACCCATGTAATTCCTTCAGGCTGTATACCGGCCAGGTCCTGTGCATAGAGGCCCGGCCACCAGATGCTCACTTTCCCCCCATGCCTGGCTCCAGAGTGGGGCCCTGGTTTTCTCAATGTGGGTGGGGTTACATGGTCCTTAATGTGACATTCCATGAAGGTATATTTAAATAGCACTTGCGAGATCCTACTAGGGGTATGTTGCCCCTGACGAAATAGCTCCTAGGATCACTGAGGCACACAAACCCCTCCACCACAATAAGGTGGTGATTCATTTTGTGATCGTATCGTTAGATCTGTGACCACATGTCTTGCACACACAGGGGAAGAGAGTAACTGACCTGTCAACTGATCACCATCTGGTGTTGAGTTGGATCAGATGGCAGGGGGAATGCCAGAATGATCTGGTAAAGTCAAATGCATAGTTAGGGTGTGTTGGGAGTATGTCGTAAAGACCCTTGTCCAGGAGATCTTCAACTTGCCCCTCTGGCAGAATTTCTCTTGCATCCCAAGGGAGATTGGAGACACTAAACCTGAATGGGCCCATGTTCTGGGCCTTCATTGCTGAGGCAGCTGTGTGGAGCTGTGGTCATAAGGCTGGCAAGGTGGCAATTCTCGAACCCGGTGGTGGATATCAACAGCGAAGGGAGCTGTCAGGCTGAAGGAGGCCTTCTGAGCACAGTAAGCCTGTGGGACTCTGGAAATACCTGACAGGTCTCAGCAGGCCAAGTGGAATATGACTTTAGCAGTTTCTGATCCAAAAAGCTGGGAGTGGGAGGAGTTTGGTGAGGTCATGAAAAATGACTTTCAGCTGGATTCTGGCAAACCGTCAGGTGACCATCGGCTTGAGAATGTCTTGGTATTCCCCAGGAGGAGCTGGAGGAGGTGGCTGGGGAGAGGGAGGTCTGCTTAGACTGCTGCCCCAATGACCCCACCCTGGATATGCAACAGAAAATTGATGGATGGATGGATGGAAATTTTGCACTTAGCACATCAGGCCCTTCCTAGGAAATGAAACCCTGTTGTTTTGCAAACTCATGTTCTTCACCATTCAGCCACTATAACACTTGCTGTTTTTTTTTTTGTTGCAGAAAATGCTATTTTTCATAACAAAACATACATATTGAATGTGACAGGAAAACCTGGGGAAAGGCCCAGAACTCATGCCGAGCAGAGGGAGGTGACCTTGCAAGTATCCATAGTAATGAAGAATGGAAGCTATTTAATGATGTTAGCAACAAAGGAATCCTGTGGATCGGACTTTACTACGATGAGTCGACGAATCTGTGGACATGGTCCAATGGTGACTCATCTACCTACTGCAGCAATAAAAGCACATGCTGCTCTCTGCCACCGGCTGTGCACCCCCTACTTTTGCTTGCTTTAGAGGTAAGTGCGGCTTCACTGTTTCCCCAAGAAAACTGATTTTTAATACTATAACGGTTGTTTCCAGAAAAAGTGTGTATTTTAAACATTAGACTTTTCTTGAGCTAACTGTATTCCCCAAATGGGGATTATATGTGGTTTTGGGACCACAAACACCATAAACTTAAGAACTAGTTAGGAAATCGAGTAGGCTAATACCTGACATTTTGTCCACAGAAGAAAAAAAAAAAACTCACTCGGGGTATCGGATCTGGGTGAGTAGAAGACAAGCAAGTGGACAAATATTCAGTGGCCAAATGTATATACATGCATTTGGTGGTGAAACGTAGCATGTACACCAGTGAGAAATTATGAGAATACAAGTCACAAGATGCTTACAACTGTGGTCATGCACAGAATGTCAAACACCATGACATAGATTCAGAGTATTGTGTCTTGAAATCAGAAATCCTCCCTAGCCAAAAACAAGGACACAGTACCACTGTGTATGAGCTGTTTAATCGAGCAATATTTCCTGCTCCGATTTCAACTGGGGAAAATGAAAGGTGAAAAGAATGCTTTAATTGTGTCTTGAGTAGTTTTCACATTTCTGCCGTAAGTTGTAAACACAACTTTTTACAAAACATTTTACAAAAACATGTCAAACAAATATTGGAAACTGTAGGCTGTATAGCACCATTTTTAAGCGTATCTTTTTAACAAACAACATAACAGAAATGCAGAATAGGCTACATTAATGTATTCTCATTCATTACACGTTTAGATATTATCGATAATCTAGGTACATTTTACTGCAATAATTGATCATTCAAATTCAGATATCGGCCCAATCTTAGTTCAGAGCTTGAAGACATAGTTGTATGGCAAAGTTGTTACAGAATATCAATCTTGACAACCAGTACAACCAGACATTTTCATGATGTTAATAGTTTTAACTCAGTTTTTAAAGCTTACTAACTCATCTGGATGGCTGAAGAAAAATGCTGCTTGCGCTGCCAAATGCGCGCTCCTATTTTTGATGACGTCGGCTGTAAGAGGATCTCCACTAGCTGTCCATCACATATACATTACTGCGTACATGCTGTATTATAGGTCAGATATGGACAGTGAGTCATTATATGGCTGGCAGTGCTGTTCATTCTCCTGCACCCATTATCCTAAACCATACACCCACTAATATCCTACTACATCCATTTTCTGGAAGTCTGTGCTTATCCTATGTACTAATCAGTTTCAGTTATGCTTCTCTGCTATTAGTGTTCCTAAATATATGTACATTTCTACACACAGAAATAAATTGATAAATACCATTCTAGGTGTGAAAATGTACGTACGCATGATTTACGCACAAAACTGTTCATACTCACAGTTGATAAATGACACCCCTGGTTTCATTTCAAGACAAATCACACCAAAATTGAAGCAACAGCACTCGGTGGCAGCAAAGGAAGGAAAGATTAGTGGCAGAATACACTTGATATTGTGAATACCGTAACTCTAAAAGTATTTGATGCATCTTTTTCAAGCTTGCCAGAAACTTTGTATCCAGGGCCTATTAAATTTTCAGTCAAATCGCATCAAAACTGAAGCAGTGTCAGTGGAACATGAAAGGACAGCCAGAGAACCAAATTACATTGTCATAAGTCACACAAAATAGGGCTTTTATTATAGATTTTTTGGAGTGGCGAGGAGAGTGTGTAGGGTGTGTAGAGTTTTGGGGGTGTGAGAGGAGTAGGGATTGGGGGAAGAGGGTGACAGGGCCGTCCAGGGAATACATTGTTGTTTTTCTGACAACATCTAGTTTTACTACTTTTTTAATGCCAACTGGATAACTGCACCCAGGTAATTGCTCACATACCCCAGCTGCTTCATATTCTATTTTAGATGCTTTTATTTGGCCTGTCATATAATGGCCTGTCTAATATCTCTTCAAGGATAAATGTATTTTGACTGAAAACTTTTATGAATTACTGCATGTTTTTTGAGAAACACATGGACCTCTGTGGTCACCAACCCTGCTGCTGGAGATCTACCACCCTGCAGAGCTTGGTGTGTTGAATTAGGGCAGCAATAAGCTCTGCAGGGTGGGATATCACTAGGAGCAGGGTTGGTGACCACTGAGGTAAAGAATTGAATAATATCCCAATTTCTCCATTTTTATATGTTCTTCAATTTTAATATGTGCTGGAGGAAATGACTTGATGTGATTTAGTGCACCTTCCATAGTTTTATGATATGTTACCTTACCTCTTCAGTGACATTGTTTTCTATTGTTCAGGACAGTGGACAGCGACAGTGCGGGAATAAGTATGGAATGTGTGAACATTTTGTTTCAGTAAATACGTTTCCAATGAGGTTTCTGACGTCTGTTCTGCAGCAATTAGGTGCCGAAACTCCTGGGAGAGCTCTTTCCTTTTACCCCTCATGATATCATTTATGCGTGTTAACAAAAAACCATCAATGTGTACTAACCCAGCTGATATTCATTTGCACAGATAGGAGGTAGAATAACTTTCTAACTACTTCCGGATTTCAGCTGGTTCCTTGCTTTTCCGTGCCTTGGTGTACTGCTTCTTTTTTCCCCGTGTCATTCCACTTTATGACACATAACTTTATTTGGACTTTATTGTTGTGAATTCGTTATATTTGTTGATTTCTGCAGTTAATACCAATGTCTGGTGAAAATGAATATCCTCATTGGAAATATATTTATTGAGAAGAAATCTTGACGCATTCAGTAGTTGTTTTCCCCACTGAATATCATTCTAGTTAAACCTTTATGTAATGATAATGATTATTAGCTATTTGTGATTGCCATATATTCAGATTAAATTCATATTGAAGAAAAGAAACATTAAAATTGCATTTCTACTTATAGAGGACATGGACATTTTGTTGAGATGAAATACTTGCTAAAAGTAATAGATATTGCAAATTTTTAGTTTTGTGATGTATCTTCTCAGACCAGAACTTCACTACAACCACCCCAACTGTGGGGATCACCAAATCTGCTGCCACTATCAGCGGCAATTCTGATTTTGCTCCACAAACAGGTAAAAGGAGGAATATGCCTGATCACTGTATGTGTGTTAATGCCTCACCTGCCCATATTGCTGTACAATGGTAGAATTGATTTATTGTTGTTCATTATTGTTACGTGTGTGATCCTGCTGCCTGCCTGCCTGCCTGTGCACGCTGCTCCTCTGGTTTCCCTGTGTTTCCCCACCGCTCTCCCTGCCTTGTTTTGACCCCTCGCGATCTGTTTCCTTTGACCTTTTGGTATTGTGTTTTTGGTTGAAATAAAACCCCTTTCGTTTTCCCCCTGGCACCTGCCTTTGCCTCCATCCATCCCAAACCGTGACATATAGCGGGTGAAACCCCCACCCTGGATGGGATGTCAGTACACACACATGTATTAGGTATCCATATGTTTGTGGGTCTCTCCATTTATTTCTATATAATCCAAACTATGACAATTTTAACCATAAGTAATCAAAGAAAATATAAGACTTTTGGTTGATTTCACTGATTTTTCATAAAATTGAGTTTCCCCTTGTGGGGACTGAAAAAAGGATCCCCACAACATCAAAATAACAGATTTTGGTCCCCACAACGTGGTTATTAACATAACCACACACATGTACACACACAGCTTAGGCATTTTAAAGATGCCAGTTTACCAAAGTATGTTTTTGGATGCGAGAGGAAACTGTATTCATTCAATAAAAGAAGGTGCAAACTCATGCATAGTGAACACTGGTGTGGTCTGTAGTGGACTAGTATGCTGTCAATGCTGTTACCATGTGCTGCACTCTGTGTTGATTGGGTTACGCTCCTGCCACCTGACCCTGTACTGAGAATTTGATGGAAGATGGATGGATAAATGGTCTGGATATCTACATATCACTGAATCTTTATAAACCGAATTTGCGTTGGCTTAGTGAAGAAAATAACTGTGTGCATATTCAATTCATCAAGGTAACCTACATTTCATTGATGAGAACAAGACCTGGGTCGCTGCACTGAAACACTGTATGGATTATTACTCTACGTTAGTACACATCACTAACAAAAGTATGCAAACAGCAGTCGAGCAATTGATGATCAAGAAGACCTTTCCTAGCAGTGGAGTGTGGATTGGTTTGGAGCGGTCCTTCCTGGACTGCAATGGGTCCTAGTACTGGACAGGTCTCTCACAGGCTGGTTTTACCCAATGGGATGATGAGTACAAGTCTAGGCCAGCAAAATACTGTGGCAAGATAATCCTCACGGACCACAATGAACTGAGGTGGCAGGATGGCTGCTGTGAGGATCAGCTGCCCTTTATCTGTCAGGTGAATCCATCTGTCACTTATTTTGTCTTATTGAAAATCGTTCCAAATTCACCTTGTAATCTGTACATCTCCTCGCTCTATTCAACACGAGACATTACCCTGGTGATTCATGACATGAATTAATAAGCTGAAAATTGTTGGTCAAAGTCCTTTGTGGGTTAAGTTTAAAGTTGAGCAACTGCTTTAGAAATACCAAGATTTCCCCTGACGCTGGTGTTCTTTACTGCGGCCACTAGGGGAATAATGATGCAGGTGCACAAATTAGAATCCTCTCCAAATGTACTAACAATACTAAGAGTGATACTTTATTAATCCCAGTGAGGACATTCTCTAGATATGTGTGTGCAGCTATTTTGAGGAGGTGAGATTTCTTGGTATAGTTGTTGTGTTCTCATGTTGTATTTTGATGATGTTTTCATATTGCAGTGAAAAGAGAAAATTGGATGTTCCCAAAGAGCAGTAAGGAGTTGGCTTGTAGGGTCAGCAAATTAATAACCGGAAATGGGTAACACAGATCGCTGCTGTTTAATGTGAACACGCTGACCCTCACTTGAGTCAGGTCAACCCCCAAATACCTTGGGAATGGTATCTGGGCTGAAGTAGCATTAATTAGCAGGGTTTGTATGGACTCATTTGTGTTTTTTTTTCCCATTGGGTGCTTCTTCTCTTCTGGCTGACCATGCAGGTACAGCAGGATGTGATGCCTGAGCCTGTTGCTGGCATGACCCTTAAATTTGGTCACCTTTCATCAAAACATTTTCACCAGTCTTTCACTAAACACGTCAATGCTCCTATTTCTGCAAAATACACTCCAGAATATACATTTTTAAATAGAATTTTGATTTAGTTGAGTTATAAAGATCTAAATCAATGTTACATTTTTAATCAGTAATTTACTGCCTTAACTCAGTAAAGTCCAGCAGGATCAACAAATAGGAATTTGTTTTGAAATATTGTTTGTTCTTTAATTAAAATAAAGACAATGCAATTGTAATACGGTTTGCCACCTTTATGAAGCTGTGTGGAATTTTTTAACAGCTTTGCTTCTTTACATATAAAAAGCTAATTAACTTTCGTTGGATTTTGAATGTACATCTTGTTCATAGGTAAATTATCCAGTTAAAATAAACGCGTTTATCTAAATACAACGATGAGAAATATGTATGAAGATGAGCTGGGCAAGTCAGTCAAGTTATTAAGTCAATAAAATTACTAGTTGATCAAAATGTAGCCTTTAAAACCTTTCCTTTGTACTGCAAACATATAGATTCGTACTTTAAATATCGATAAAGATAAAGTGTAGTAATGGTATTCATCTTAAAAATCTTTTTTTTCCTTTTTTTTTTTACAAAAACTAAAACAATATAGACCCTGTCACCTAAATTAAAGTTAAATCATAAGAGGAGGCATAAATTCAATCCTTACTAACGCAAACGCCATAAGGAAGGCGATGGCAATATTCACGCTTCCTGGACTTATCCCATCCCCCACCCCGCTCCCCTCACCCTGCATCCGTGCTCAGAATCTGTAACAAGCGCCCCCCTTTCACATCACATTACTGGCTATCCACGAAGCGAGCAAGAAAGCCGGGGTGCAAAATACACCAAGAGGCCGACAGGCGCCCTGCCCGCCTCCGATTGCATGCACATCCAGTGCCGGTCCCTTTAGTTAGCACCGATCGCTCTGAACTGAGCCGGGCGCGCCGGGGACGATGTCAGCAAGACCGGGCTTTTACCGGCAGGAGCTCAACAAGACGGTGTGGGAGGTGCCCGAACGGTACCGGAACCTGACGCCTGTAGGTTCGGGGGCCTACGGCTCGGTTTGGTGAGTAGGGGGGGAGATGGGCGCGGCAGTCAAGGAGTGTGGGCATCGTCATTAAAATACTTCTATTATTATGTTGTTGCACCTGTGATTTGATGTTCTGCAAAAATGCTGCTTTTTCGTTTCAAAAAGATAACGCCAATTATTATTATTATTAATATTATTATTATAGGACTTTTCAGGAGTCTTTGCTCACAAAGGTATTTTGTAAATATTTTTTCTCCTTCGTTTTCCTTTTCACTAGTCCTCTTTATACGTAGGCTATGTGAGGGGGTAGCCTTGCGGCAGTGTCGTTACTGATCGTTGTGATACCGGCGATCGGCTCGGTTCCGCCGGGCAGCTGTGTTCCCAGTACGGGGAGTGGCACAGGTGATTGACTGATAACGAGAAGGCTGCGGGACGCCTTCTTCATAATAAAATACATATTACGGGGGGTGGCTTTGGGGGTGGGGATTTGGTGGGGGTTCAGCCCGGCGGGGGGCTACAGTCGTATAAATGCTGCATTTAGCAGCCGACGAACAAGTCGGTGCTTGTTTACTTTTCTCTAGCGGCGTCGTGAAGCGATGGGGGTCCCTGCAGCCCCATGCCTGAGCATCTACGTCAGTGCTCAATAACATGCCAGTTATTAATTTTTATTTATTTATGTTTTGTATTTAGATATTGCGGCGAATATCTACGTGAGAATTTATTATATGAAACAAGATTTCAACAAAGATGATAAAAGTATTTATCTAGCTAAGTTGGCTACTAAAACGACTGTTAGGGTCTATTTAATTCCAACATAGGAAATAAAGACCTTCAAACATATAGCAAAGTTATATGAAACAGTTGAACTGCTTACTAAAATCCAAATACTCCTAACTGGATACTGGATATTTTGGATAATTGTTCAATTCAGCGGCGTTCCCAGCCTGAATAAATAGGCACAGTTCCTGTGTGCTGGATTAGTTACAGAAACTGCAGCACAAATGTTTGTACTGCAAATATCTGGACCTGCACGCTTGTTTCGGATCCCTCTGCGCTATCTGTATCTCTGTACGCATAATTAGGTCAAAGTGACCTGTAATTACGTTTTTTGAGTGAACCGCCACATAAAACATGGCTCGTCATCGACATGATCGTGTACTAGTTTCCGAAGGAAAAGTAAAAAAGAAATCGATAGTACTTATTATGACATGCATTTATATAGTTCCTTCTTAAGGACACAGTTAAAGGGCCTTCACATGAATGTGTCAAACTGGTACACAAATCTGATTTAATTTACTAGTAGTGAATCGAGAGACAATAAATTTAACCTGAAGTGAAATACTATGCTTATAAAGTGTTTAGTGTCTGCTGCATACCTGTAATCGTTCATGGTGGCAGTGTGAATGGTTTGTACAGTGGTACTGGATGCCAGGTCATTACAGGACACACACACACACACACAGAGTAGTGAATTAACGACTTCAGGGGCATCTTAGTTACACTTTCCGTAAGCCCTTCCTCTGCTTCCACTCCCCACAACAAAACAACAATTATCTATAACATTATTAATTATTAGCAACTATAAAATGATGTCTACAAAGTCAAAGAGGATGTGATGCTGTATCGGACGAGAGTAACCACATTAGAAGAAGAAGTAACCTTAAAACATTACACTCTGATCCAGTGCGTGTCGACTGCATTCACAATGTGACCTCAAGACAAATTCACCAAAGAAACCATAGACCATAGATAACTTTTTAGAATGAGGCAAATATCAAAAGAATATAAAACTATACTTCCTATTACTATTAGAATGTTTTCCTCCATACTTTACTGGCATAAAACTCATTGATCAGGCTCATAATATACATTTTTACTTAGGAAACAGTCTAAGCATGCACATCCCAGAAAGTACACAATGGTATAGAAAAGCACCAAAAATTAAACATATTTAGAGTTGGTCTCCCCATTCTGTTTTAACTAATCACCAACTCGCAACAAAACTGAAAAGCAATAAAGGATTACTAAAAAAATAGCAATAATAATAATAATAATAATAATAAAGTAGACCACCAACAAGACCCTCAAATTAATCTGGGCCTCTAGGCCAAGTATGTATTGCTGTAACCAGGAGCTGAGTGTCGAGTAGGAGGGGCAATGTTGAGTAGGAGGGGCAATGTCAAGTAGGAGGGGAAATGACGAGTAGGAGGGGCAATGTTGAGTAGGAGGGGCAATGTCAAGTAGGAGGGGAAATGACGAGTAGGACGGGCAATGTTGAGTAGGAGGGGTTTATAACAAGGGTAAGGGTTAGGGTATCAGATGATAACAGGTCCTTTGTTATAAACCCCTCGCTCATTGCCCCTCCTATTTGACAGTGCCCCCCCTGTTCGACTTTGCTCCTCCCACTCCGCATTCGGCTCCTGGCTGCAGTGATATGCTTCTCCTCTAGGCTGCAGCCTGGGCAAGCCTGTTCATTAATCCCTGCCTGCACACACACATGCTATGGGCAGTTCAGAGACACCAGTTTGCCGAATTGCACATCTTTGGACAGCAGGAGGCAACCCACACAAGTATTAGTGCTCCAATACCCCTTTAAAGTATGGATTTAATTAATCAGCTAGTTAGAAGTGTCTTTGACTGAAGGCCATTCTGCTGTGGTGTCCTCATGAAAGTGTGTAACTATGCTTCTGAGGGCCAGGGAGTGAGGCACTGTTGAAGGACCCACCTCGCAGTAGTTATCATGGCTGGGTTGTTTCTGATGTAAAGTCTGGAAGCCTCCTTCCATCGTCTACCCAATTCCCAGGCCTTGTGGGAGACTTACCTTGGGTCTATGGCCTTTCCTATTATGGAGCACAGAGAGCTGTCCAATAATCAGTCAGCACAACATATATACAACCTATGATACACTAATAAATGGATATGCAGGGATAAGTTTATATATACTGCATATATGGTGTTTAGAAAGCGAATGGGCCAATCTATAGACCGGACTACCCAAGCTTGCTGAGGAATTGCGGTGTGTCTCTCTCTCTTTGTGTGTTCTTCTGTGGTTAATGGCAGCACCTATGTTTCTGAACACTGAACCAGATTCTTTTTATGACATAACTTCCTTGTCCTGCATGCAAAAATATGTCCTAAACTAATAAACTGGGTTTGTGTCCTATTTCTGTCCAAGGGTTGAATTAGCTCTATCGAAGCCTGCGTCACCCCCCAGAACTACTCAAGTCAAATGAAAGTGATGGCGTTCCAATTGTGCAACAAGACGAGCGATTAGATTTGATGGCTATCTGCGTCATTATGATGCAGTCGAGCAACTTAAAAAATTTAGTCAGCACAATTCAAATAAAGTGGTACCTCAGTTCTCGAACCCATAAGAGTATGAAGCTCATAGAGTAGGTGATTTGATATGAAGCAGTGTGCTTCTCATAGGTCTGTATTTAAGAGGGCAATGGCCTGGGGAAAGAAGCTGTTCAGGATGTGCTTGGACCATGTGTCCATGGTGAGAGAGGTTGGACATTAATTTCCTGGCTCTTTTCCTCATCCTTCATGAGTACAGGTCTTCATGCAGGGGTGGGGGGGACAGCCAGTCATTTTCTCTGCATATCACACAATTTGCTGTGGTTTCCACTTAGAGTGTGATGGTACAGAGACAAACCAGATTATAACCGATTCTATTACAGCCATGTACCACTTCTTTTGTTATAGCTTCTGTGATAATTTCTTCGACTGACATAAGGGGTACAGATGCTGTTGCGTCTTCATAGTTAGGCTGGTGATATTATTGTCCCATCTGAGGTCTTATTGGATGGTGGTGCTTACTTTTTTTTGGTAGCTGGGCTCATCGCCATTTTTGATGTGTCCAGTCAGGTTGGTGTTGTCTGCAAAATTAAGGAGCTTTACAGAGTTGCTTTGTGAAGCAGGGGAGAGAGAATATACCCTTGTGGAGCACCAGTGCCGAAGAAGATACCATCTGAAATGTGGTTGCCCAACTGCTGGTCAGGAAGTCCTTAAAATTATTTTCAGACCCTTTGCTAAGCCTCCAGTTTGTTAAGTGACAAAGCATGTATGAGGCTTAAACCGCCATCTGGAGATGCAGAATTCATACAGAAGGCAAATGACCCAACATAGAGAGACGTGCCCCTCAGGGATGTGCTGAAGAGCTCGTTGGGGTTGAACGTTCAAGTTTTTTGGCTGCCAGGAAAACTGAGAACCAGGTAAAGCCAGCTGGCTGGCAGGTAACAGGAAGGTGCTCTGGGTGCGATATGGCACTGTGCCGGAAAAGCAGTGTTAATGTCAGTGGCTGGTGGGCGGTCCTGGCATTTCATCTGCCTCCAGTTCTGGGGAATAAGGATTGCACCAGAATTGCTCCCTTTACAGAATTGTCTGCATATTTTAACACCATAATGGTAATCTGATCATGTAATTTAATAATGTATTAAAAATCTAATTCATGGGGAGTAAACCTATTTTTCTAATGAAATTAACAATTTGCACACCATCCACAGTCTGACAAAATGAATTACATAATTGAATAAAACAAGTATATTCATAATTGGTTCATCAGTATACTGTAATAATTTCAATTTCCCTCTTAATAACTTATTAATTGATAATTAAAATTTGCCTGCCTCTCTACTTTCCCTGTTCTCGTCCACTCCCTGTTTGTTCCTCCCTGTTCTCGTCCACTCCCTGTTTGTTCCTCCCTGCTCCTGGTTCTCCCTCTTTTCCCTCCTACTCCGCTCACCCCTCTCATCCCGCCCCCCACAGCTCGGCGTACGATGTGCATCTCTGCCAGAAGGTGGCGGTGAAGAAGCTGTCGCGGCCGTTCCAGTCGCTCATCCACAGCCGGCGCTCGTACCGGGAGTTGCGGCTGCTGAAGCACATGAAGCACGAGAACGTAAGAGAATCCTGCTTCGCCACTGTCGTCGTCTGTTCGTGTAGCAGCCTCACTTACTGAAGGCCTTAGCTTTGTGCATCTCATATAAATGTCTGTGTTACAAAGTGACACCATGAGCGACATATATGCCATAGTAACTCCACTCATATGTCTATAGATGCATTGAAGAAGCAACTTGATGAGCTAGTGTGAGGTTAGGGTTATATATAGACACTGTAACCTCATACCCCCACAGTAAGAGGTTTAAACCTCAACCCTGCATTGTGTGTGTGGAAATTGCATGTTTTCCCCATGTTATACAGGGTTCTTCTGGGTATGATGGCTCACATGCTGTTTGGTGAATTGATGTCTCCATCTCTGTACTGGATAAATGTTAAGAAGATGGGTCGATGCTATCCTTATCTCACATGCATGATGTGATTTAATGCACACTCGCACCCTAACTTTTTCTAGAAACAATGGGTATCCAGTAAACATTGAAACTCTTTCTCCGTTTAGGTCATAGGCCTGCTAGATGTCTTTACTCCCGCCTCATCTCTGGAAGACTTCAATGAGTTGTGAGTGCCTGTGAGCCATTGGAATTTGTCCAATGCAGATTTGCCATCCTCTGTAACATTCCTTTGCTCCCCCAGGTACCTCGTCACCAACCTGATGGGGGCAGACTTGAACAACATAGTGAAGTTCCAGCGGCTTTCAGACGAACACGTGCAATTTCTTATTTACCAGCTCCTCAGGGGCCTCAAGGTGAATTCCTACCTGACACTATCATTTCCTAAGCCTCTATGCCAATGTTTCCCACCTCAGTCATCAGGGACCCCAGACAGTTCACATTTTTGCTCCCTCCGAGCTTTCTACCACATTTTTGCTCCCTCCCAGCTCCCTGCCAAACAGTCCACATTTTTGCTCCCTCCCAGCATTCTACCACATTTTTGCTCCCTCCCAGCTCCCTGACAAGACAGTCCACATTTTTGCTTCCTCCCCCCTCCCCCCTCCCCTACCGGGGACTGCCTGGGGGTCCCCAAGGACCGGGTTGGGAAACACTTCTCTATGCAAATCCCAGAAGCTGTTTGCCTGTGTAGATAACTTTCCCTTCTAACTAGTGAAAAATATAGGAGCCATTGTGAACCTTTTCTGGTGCTGAAATTCCTCATTAATCTGAAGTTGTTCTATCACCATCTGACATTCTTTTTTTCCACTTTTACTCACCAGTACATTCATTCAGCTGGACTGATTCACAGAGTAAGTTCCAATTTCCTTTGCCATCTACTCTCAAAAACATATCTGCTGTTTTTAACAGATTTTCTGGGTTTAGTTCTTCTGTAGGCGATACTTCCTGAGTCACCCGAAGGCCTTTACTGCATATTTTAATAGTATTGTGTCTGTGACTCTACTGGGTTTGTTTGGAAAAGTGTGGGCTAGTTTGGCAGGTTTGATTCTTAACGCCCCTTCTCTGTCTGTTATCTATGTTTGCACAGGACCTGAAGCCAAGCAATGTAGCTGTCAATGAAGACTGCGAGCTAAGGGTAAGGTGGAGCGGCTCCCCCGGAGGTCTGGAGGGGCAATTACAGTCCAGCTGAACGGTGGCAGGGACACACTGAGCCAGTGTGCCTCTGTGCCCCCTCAGATCCTAGACTTCGGGCTGGCAAGGCAGACGGATGATGAGATGACAGGATACGTGGCGACTCGCTGGTACCGAGCGCCTGAGATCATGCTCAACTGGATGCACTACAACCAGACAGGTAACTTTATAGAATTAAAAACTAGAACAGTGACACCAGAAACTCATACTTCAGTACCCATCAGTCAGAGCAATGGTTACTACTGTATATCGATGTCATTCGAAATCTGATATTGTGGCTAAATATTATTTCTATATGTGAGTAATGCAGTGCTAAAAAATACCTAGTAGTAAAAATGTGTTTGATTTCTTCTGCTATAACGCTGAGTCATGTCTGCTTGTTAAAATATTTTTTAAATATTTTTTGTTACGTTTTTTTGCATACCAAGATGGAACAAAGAGTATTCTTATTGTACAACACGTGTCTTTAGAGGGATTTTATTGACCATTATATAGAGTTACTGTATATTCTTTGCATTCCTGTTAAATAGACTTTGGTTGTACTAGAAGGTAATACGATATGTAACTCACGGTCTAATGATGTTGTGTATGATGTCATTTATGATCTTGCAGTGGATATCTGGTCAGTGGGCTGCATCATGGGAGAACTATTGAAGGGGAAGGTGTTGTTTCCCGGCAATGACTGTATCCTTCACAGAGAGCGAGGATGAAGGAGGGTGATTTTAATGTGTTAATGGGCTGTAGCCCTGGTTTGGAGGGGTGTGGATGCTCACATGGGTGTTGGAATGGCCTTTACCGTGCCTCTTAGACATCGACCAGTTGAAGAGAATCATGGAGGTCGTGGGCACGCCGACCCCAGAGCTACTCAAGAAGATCTCGTCCGAACACGTAAGAAAGGAAACACTACTATTTCGTATATTGCTACTTCAGAAATCACTAATGTTTAACTCTATAAAGACTCACTGTCTGAATTAATTCTCCTAAAACTCCTTTGGAAGGAACGAGCAGCTCAAAGAGCCTACAGAAATTTACATTTATACCCAACCTGATTTCTTTGGGCTTTTGAGACTGAATCGTGTGTCTGATCTTAGTGCCGCAATGATGTTGTTTTATATGGAGGCCAAATCAGTTCAATCAGTAGAATCTTTCCTTCCGCAACAGAGTGGGGATGGGAAGGTGGAGAGAGAGGCTGGGGTTACAAAATGGGAGACAGAGGGGAAGGGAGTGATCCAGAGAGAGGAAGAGGTGAGGGTCAAGAGAGGCAAAAAGGGGGAGGAGAAGGGAGGGTAGAGATAGAGCAAGTAGGTCAGGGGAACTTATTTGTTGCCATGGAGTTTCATTCAGCAAAGTTCCTGGAAGAGCTGCCTGCAGAGGTCACTAAGGGCAAAAGTGTCCCTGTCCCACAAAGCAGTGAAACAGGAGGGGTAAGAATGGGAAAGATCTAGAAGTTAGGAGGCACGAAGAAGAGAGGGTCAATAAGTGGCAGAAAACGCGTCTGACCCTGGTTTTTCGTAGACTTTTTTGGTCATATTTCAGTTAATGAAATCGGTACAGATTAAAGTGCAGAAGGGTCATTTTTTCCACTTTATAGCAGCCAATTAAGATATGAACCTGTTTTTAAACTTTAAGACCCTATATGAACAAAAGCATCGGGACTCCTGGTCATTACACCCACAGGAACTTTTATGACATCCCATTCTAAATCCATAGGCACCAATTTGGGATTTGATGCCCCCTTTGCATCTATAACAGCTGCCACTCTTCTGGGAAGGTTTTCCATAGGATTTGGGAATTTGTCTGTGGGAATTTTTGCCCATCCATCCAGAAGAGTGTTTGTGAGATCAGGCACTGATCACTGGAACTAAGGGGCCCAGCCCAACCCCTAAAATACAACGCCATACCATTATCCTCCTTCCACCAAACTTTACAGTTGGCATGATGCAATCAGGCAGGTAATGTTCTCCTGGCATCTGGCAAACCCAGACTCATCCATCAGACTGCCAGTCACAGAAGCGTGATTTGTCACTCCATAGAACACATTTCCACTGCTCCAGAGTTCAGTGGCGGTGTGCTTTACACCACTCCATCCAACGCTTGGCATGCGCTTGGTGATTTGAAGCTTGCATGCTGCATACCATGGAAGCCAATTCTATGAAGCTGCCAGGACACAGTTTTTGTGCTGGAATTAATGCCAGAGGAAGTTTGGAACCCTGTGGTTATTGAATCAACTGGGCACTGGTGACTTTTACGCACTATGCGCCTCAGCACTTGGTGACATGGTCTGACACTGAGTTTCTGTTGTTCCTAAACGCTTCTACTTTATAATAATCCCACTTCCAGTTGACTGTGGAATATCTAGCAGGGAAGAAATTTCACAATCTGACTTATTGCAAAAGTGGCATCATATGACAGTGCCACACTTTAATTCACTGAGCTCTTCAGAATGACCCATTCTTTCATAAATGTTTGTAAACCTGACTGCATGGCTGGGTGCTTCGTTTTATACACCTGTGGCATTGGGTCTGAATTAAACACCTGAATTCAATGATTAAGAGGTGTGTCCCAATACTTTTGTCCACATAGTGTATTTTCAAACTTTGGGATTTAAAAAATATGTTTTTCTCATATACTCAGTGGCCACTTCATTAGGTACCTCTACATGGTAGCAGGTAGGACCCCCAATTGTCTGTAGAACCAGTTCAAGGGTTGACAAGTTGTGCTTTCACATAAGCTTTTCTGCACACCACTGTTATATCTTTGCACTTTAGACTCTTCTGTTAGCTTTAATGAGTCTGGCCATTTTCTCTTAGACATCTCTTACTAACAGGGTGTTTTTGGCCACAGAACAGCTGCTGACTGGATGCTTTTTTTGTTTTGTTTATCTCACTCTTCTCTATAAACTCTAGAGTCTAGACACTGTAATGTGAAAATCTAAGGAGATCAGCCATTTCTGAGATACTGGAGCCACCATCTCTGGCAATGACAAATAGACTGTGCTTAAAGTCACTTAGCTCAGGTGTCTTAGCTGATTAAATGCTTAATTGTATAGCAGTTGAACCTCTAGACCTTATCTGCATGCTATATATATTCATTTGCAGCCACATAACATACATAATCGCTGCTTGGAGGAGCAGGTTGTTTGCATTAAACTGTAGGTGAAGCTATTAAAGTGGACACAGTGTATTTTCACTCCTTCAGATCTGGAAGGCAGATGCTGTATGTGAACATTTGCAGCTGGCCTTGCTGACAGTCCTTTTGTGTTCACAGGCACAGAAGTACATTGAATCCCTGCCCTACATGCCCCAGCAGGACCTGGGGAAGCTGTTCCGGGGAGCCAATCCGCTGGGTGAGAGGGTGTCATGTGACAGTAGTAGTGATGCAATGTGATTGTGTGACATGGTGGAATTCCATTGGAAATGTTATCTGTAGGATCTTGTAAAATGTAGAGTCCTGTATGGATAAGTACAATAAATACTCCTTAGTCATTACAAATGATACCTTTGTGCGTAAGTCAGTCACTATAAAAGTTTCATCTTGCATTTTAATGACCAAAAAGCTTGTAGTCATGGAACTTTATTTTTTACTATGAAATCTTCCTATTTAAGCCCACTAGATTTACTTTTGAATGATTTAAATACATTTTCTATGGTTATCAAAAACCACTCACCATTTTACAGTAGTACAATAGACTTGCCTCTTATCCCTGTTATGTCTAATCATAGACAGGATGGGCTTTAACTCGGCAAACTCCTAGAATGGATATGCTACAATTTTGCTCTAGAGCCATACTTCTAATCAGCATTTCTTCACAGTGATCAAATACTTGAGAATATACACCATATCAGTCAAAAGTCTGTACGCACCTGCTTTTAATGCATTTCTATTCATTTTAGCTATGTTATTCATCTTACAGTATGCATAATACGTATCAGATATTGCAACAACTAAAAGAAATGTTCAACATCTCAAAATTTTCTCACATTTTAGCCATGACAGCATTGTAGACTCAACCAGCTTCCATATGTAGCCGCCTGGAGTGCTTCTCCAACAGTCCTGCATGAGTTTCCATAAGTTCTAGGCACAATTTAGCCACCTTGCTCTTACTGTTCAATCCAACTCGTTCCAAAACCAGCTCTATACGGTTTAAGGCAGGGATTGTGGGGGCCATGTCATCTGCCACAGCACTCCATCTCTTTCCTTGTTCACAAGTTAATACAGCTTTTGTATAACCTCAAGGTGTGTTTAGGGTCATTATCTTTTTGAATAAACAATTGATTTTCAGTAGGTGTGTTTAGACCTTTGTCTGGTAGTATATAACATTATAGCTGTAGCATGGTATGAACTGATGCCATTCATCTCTCAGCTGTGGATCTTCTGAAGCGGATGCTAGTTCTGGATTGCGACGGGCGTGTGACGGCCAGCGAAGCCCTCTCGCACCCCTACTTTGCACAGTACCACGACCCTGATGACGAGCCAGAAGCCCCTGCTTACGACCAGACTCCCGAGAGCAAGGACCGCACCCTGGAAGAGTGGAAAGGTGAGTTTCAAGAAGGTGGGGAGGGGGAGGAATGAGAAGGCAGGGCTGAGCTTTGAGGTCCTGTCGATTATGTGCGATGTTACCCAACTAAGACTGTACATGTGCATGGTCTGTTCAGTCTCATGGATACTGTTACCATGGCTGTACCACACAGAGATAAGCCAGAAAAATGTAATCACTGCCTAACATTACAAAACACATTACAGATACTAATATTCCAGAAAAGCTAGATGCAAATGCTAACTCAACATCTTGATCGACACCCACCTTAAAATCTGACGTTTATCTCTAACCCTTTCTTAGTTCATTAGTATTGCATTCATTATGACGCCTATTGATGTGAGTCGGTCAATATGACCAGCTGGCTGCAATACTCGCTGCATCTTGGGGCGGTGGCTGCATGACGCAACCACGGCAACAGGAATTTTTGTTGTTTTGCATCCAAGAAAAAGGGAAACCCCCCAGGCTAAAGCATACACGTCGCAACAAGCTCAGTTTACTGTTCAGTCTAAAAGGCTTCGTTCCAAATGAGTGCAATGACACTTAATTCGTTCCAAAAAATTATAAGCGGACATTACAGACGTTATGAATGCGTTTGTGTTCTTCCTTCCAGCTTAAAGATGGCTGTCTTTTTGAAAACACAGTCTTAGAATTGCTGTTGTTCTTTACTCATCCAAACCCTCCCCTCCCCTCCCCCACTACAGAGCTGGTGTTTGAAGAAGTCAAAAGTTTCAAGCCCCCTGGTAATAAACAAGATAGTTTGGAGGCGGAGCCATAAGGGGCAACCCTGACCCCTTTGTACTTTCTCTGTCTATCCTGAGGACGGACGGCCCCCTTCGTTTGGCTGGCTGTCAGTCAGCAAAGTGGGGCGGAACCAAAGAGACTTCTAGCCAACCAGAGAAGATCGCTCTTCCTTTGGCATGACTCCCACAACCATCTTCTGTCTGTCCATCATTCTGCAAAAAAATGAACTCTAATGACTATGAGAATGAAGTATTACTTGAAAAATACCTATGGCCAGAAGGCATGCTATTTTTTTTTGCATTTCTTTTAACTCTTTTTATGTTCTCTTCCCCATTTTGCCTATATTAATTTGAATTAGTGAGAGTCCCTTAAAAAATGGCTGTCTGACTCATGTCACAAAGCGAACTACTAAGACAGGTGTCACACCCAGTCACACACAAGCTCAGATCTATTCTCGAAAACAAACCATTGTCATTGTCAACACAATTTACTTGCTGTGTTAAGGTGCCTGGATGGAGGTTGAGTCTCGATGACAGGCTGGAAGTAGGACCAGGCTCTCAGTAAACTGACTATTGATTCATACCCCCCCCCCCCCAAAAAAAAAAAATGGTTGGAGGATGAACTTATTTATATCTAGCAATACCTGCAGAGTAATAGAATCAGGATCAGAATCATACACGATTGGTCCAAAGGAACTCTCCTGTCTGCTTGGTAATCATCTGCCCTCAGGACCCTGCATTTATCACACTTAGTCCCTGGTAAACTGCATGTCTGTCGTTAAAAACGTGCAACTCGCTCGCCCCTGCAGGCGACTCCTCCCTTTGCAGCACCCCAGCGTTTGAGCCTGCAGGCTTATTCGCTTCGCTTTATTATTCACCAATAAAGCTACTGGTCACACCACGCAATCTCAATGGCTATTGTTTTTTTCTCCTTGTTTCCATTAAAAAAAATTAATTTAACTTACAATTAGCCTATTTTTCATTAAGATTAACATGGGAATTATGGCTATAAACTTAGAAAGTATAAGGAAATCATCTAAATCTAAGAAACATTTCAAATTTGAACATTTGAAATTATTTTATTAGAATTATGTTTTGGCATATAATTGCTATTGTGACAAATATGCATTTATACAAAAGACAGCTATTAAATACTAAATTTGTTTATTAAAATGTCATGCTGTCTTGTTGACTTCTAAAGCTCTATGGAAACTTTTTTTATTCAGAAGTTACCTTCAGTTTCATTCCTAATCGCGCGAATGCACATCAGTTTTAAGGAACTACACTGTTCAGAAATAAATAAACAAATAAAAAACAGAAACAAAGACACTAAATTTATAGCAAAAATGAAAAACATTGCAGGATACTGTGGGGAAGGCTGTATGACGCCCTAAAACGAAAGGGAGGCGTGAGATACTGCAGATCACAAGGAAGGGGAACGGGCTGCGTGTTCAAGTTACTATAAGCAAGTGAGGGAGGGTGTGAGAGCAAGGTGCGACGAGAAGGGCTGGAGGAAGCGTACGGATTGATTTGGGTTAGATCATAATCGACATGTCAGGTCGGATACGGCAAGGCTTTTATCGTCAGGAGGTGAACAAAACTGAATGGGAAGTGCCGGAGAGGTACCGGGAGCTGCGGCAGGTCGGGACGGGGGCTTACGGCACGGTGTGGTAAGTCCAAAACCTACTCTGTCAGCGTCGCTGTAATTCTTTGTTTGTGGGCTGATCCGAGATTTCTCCAGTAATGATTTGTGAAACTGAAAGTGCTAGAGAAACGAGAAAATATAATCTGTCCAAAATGAAAAGATTTTTAATAATTAGAATGCAGGATTTTATGCAAATTCTTTTACATGGTGTTAAATTGGAAAACCAGTGTATCCCGGTAAGACGATTCCTGTATTAGTAATTACTTAACAATATAGTTGCAGGATCGTGTATTCTGAGATTCCGCTTCGGATACGTTTCTTTTTAACCCCCGTAGTCCCGTATCTCAGAAACCCCACCGATCTCCTTCACTCCCTGATCGCTGTGAAAAGGATTTCTCCCCCCCATTGTAAAGCACTTATAACAAAAAGTCCCCCGCCCCAGTTTTATTGTTCGAAATCGGCGTGCAGAAGTAGGCGCATTATCATTGATCGGATTCGACGGCGTAACGTGCAAGTGCTTTAAAATTCGTTAAACTTAACATTATGACAGTTTTCCGGGTTGACACTGCGAATGCTATTTTAGTAGTAAGTGCAAAGGAAATCCCCGCCTATTATTTTCTGCTCGACCTGGGCGTCTGCAAACCGCACTTCAGTTGCCGCTGATTTATTTTCGGCGCAACGTTACCGCTGTAAAACGCACGTGTCGGCGCTTCCTGCAATGTCCTGTTTACGGGGTGACGGGGCTTGGAGGTGCACCTGTAGTCACCTTTAATATACCGGGACCCAGCTTCATCTCTCTAATAAGCGTTTTCAATGGCCCCCAAAACAAAAGTAAGAAAGCAGAAAGTGTAAAACATTGCAGCCAGTGTTGTGAAACAGCACTTCCTGGATTGCAGGCTGCCCATACTGAGGTGAGGCGGCATGAAGACATGGGTGGGCCTTTCTGCAAATCCACAGTTACCATTATCCACCCCCCGGCCTCCCCTCCCCCCCAGCCTCTGACAACCACCCACTTCCTCTGTTCTTATGAATGGCCCTGTACTGAGGTGTCTTCATATTCACTTCTTAAAATAAAATGGAAATGATTCCATTGCAATGTCATCGACAAAAACCTTTATTGTCCGTAACTGCCAGAGGACACAACAGTGTCAAGGACGCCCCATGGTGTCGCAAATATTGTTAAATGAGGATATTAATTAACTTTAACCAAACCATTAGGCATTGTTATTAACTTCATTATAATACAATTATTATGGTACAATTGTAATGGCACCCAAAATATGGTCGGCATCTAGGTAAATTGTTCTATGGCTGTCTATGTATTGTATCTTTGTCCTTTAAATGTTTAAAAGTTTGTTCTAGGTTGTTCTGCCCACAAAGCCCACCAGCAGTGCTGTGTCTCAGTTTCAGTATCTAACTGCTTAATGAGTCTGATTTCCCCAAGTCATGGTGAGCTTCGTGGCTGTTGACCACATTCACCAAGGGTTTAGGCAGGTTGGTGACTGCTAACCATCGACCACTAGATGGCCTTTGTCTCCTCAGCTCGGCGCTGGACCGCAGGACAGGGGTACAAGTGGCCATTAAGAAACTCCACAGGCCTTTCCAGTCGGAGCTCTTCGCCAAACGAGCGTACCGCGAGCTGAGGCTTCTGAAGCACATGAAGCACGACAACGTGAGCCCCCACGCGACTCCACCCTTCCTTTAGCCTGTCCTCCACCCTCAGTCATGTACCTGGGCAGCCATTTTGCTAACCAGACACAGTGAAAGCTTCATGCTGGGGTTAGAAATTATACATCATAAAATTCCATTCTAACACGGCGCATTCACTCCTAAATTAACTGGCCTCACTGGAAAAGTACCAGCTAACAAACTAATCTGCCTTGTGTATGTCAGTTCCAGCTGGATTTATTGCGCTCTCTATGCATTCTATCATAAATGTAACTAGTGCACAACAAGAAACTTCTTCCCATTCAGAATGGCTCCTTTAAATCAACTGGACTCAGCCTTGTACTTCACCTGGAGTAGTTCAGGGTAACACCTTCCTCAGGGCTTAGGGGTTCCGTAGTGATTTTGGTATTAATTCTCTTAAAATTCATGTGTCAGGTATTAAACACTCACTGACCAGCGTGTAAACTGATATGTTACACTTCTGTACTCTGTAGTACGTATCAACTCAATGCCCCTGTAACCATGATAGTCAGAATAATATTCTGAATAATAATATTCATAATAATAAGAGTAATAATAATAATTTTACTGAGAGACATACATACAAAGCATTTTAAATTCGTTTCGCAGCTCTGCGTTTTACCAGAGCACTGTGTGCAGTATTATAATAAAACAATAAAAATGATTGCAGCAATAAATTGTCGCTCTATCCGTCAGCTCTGACCACTAATTATAAAAATGTTCCATAGTGAAGTATCTGCAATCTAAACAAAGGAGCTGTGTATTATAAATAGTATTGTTCTAGTAGTGAGAATTTTAAAAATGCAGTTTCATGATTATTGCTGTGTTCCCTTTAAGATCTTTAGTGGCTTTTTTTAACAGTGCCTCCTGAGGTTCTGTAACTCCTGGCCTATCCCTTTTGTGCCCATGTGCCATGGCTAATTCTCTGAACCTCGCCTCCTCTCTGTCTCTCGTCTTCTGTTGGCTGGGAGCAGGTGATTGGGCTGCTTGATGTCTTCACTCCTGAGATTTCCATGGACAGGTTCCAGGATTTGTGAGTATTGCTGTCTGCGTCCGCCTGTCCCACTGGCTCATTATCGGTCACCTGACAAGGCGTGATCCCGCTGCGTGTTTCACAATGACACCTTGGTTCCGGGTAGCCGTGTGTGTTTTATGTCATTCACATGCTAACATAGTGCAAATGCTAACATAATGGGAACCATAAACTACATAATAATAACTCGTCATTTAATGAGTTTTTAACTATAATTGCCATTTAAACATGCATTACAACCTGTATTTTACTTAAACTGAACATATTTTTATTGCGCTTATAACCAGTAAGACTGGTCTATGTGGCTCACATTTTCATTCCATTGCTACATGGAATCTCAGAGGTTCCTCAAATGACTGGCTCATTAGAGTGTAGATTTGAGCGACGTGCCCCCCCCCCCCCACTCCCACTCTGTGGCAGTTACCTGGTGATGCCCTTCATGGGTACGGATCTGGGCAAGCTGATGAAGCTGCAGAAACTGTCAGAAGAGAGGGTGCAATTCCTCGTCTACCAGATTCTCAAGGGACTTAAGGTCAGCCGCCACTTATCGGCACACTGATACCGGGCCATTATGCAACATATACACACTATCACAGGGGAGCTTTAATGCTCGGGTTTACCCAGGCTGACGCCCAGGGGTCTCCACTCAAAAGGGGCTTCAGCTAACCTGTTAAATAAAATTTTAACCCCGCCCCCAACCCTGATCTGAAGTTCTCCAGATTTATTTTCCATGGCTTGCAGAGCAATTATATCAATAATAGGTCATTGAGCAAGGTTTTTAACCCCAGAAACTGCTTCAGGGGAACCACATTAACAGCTGATCCCTACGTGTGGCTCTCACCTATATTAAGAGATTGAGATGGGATATGTTTAATGAATTCATGTATACTTGTACAAATGGCAAAGTACCGTTATATAAAAAGTATGAACCTTTCTATCTCCCTATACAGTACATCCACTCAGCTGGGGTCATCCACAGGGTGAGTGACCTTTGACCTGGGGGGTGAGAACACGGCTGGCACTTATTCCAGCTGTGTACGTGAGGGGTGCGTCTGTCTCTTTTCGCTGATCCAGTGTTTTTATATACCAAAAGGACCTGAAGCCAGGAAACCTGGCTGTCAATCAAGACTGTGAGCTCAAGGTACGTCACCAATGAGCCCTGCAGCCTGTAAGAAATGTATCAGGTCAATATTTTTCATTGACTATGGTTTTTAATGTTTAATAATAACCGTTGGGATGTTCTGTGTATCTGGAGATCTGGGTTCTGGGTTCTCCTATTTCCATCCACAGTCCAAAGACATGCAGTTAGGTGAATGGCTGTTTCTGAATTACCCGTAGTGTGTGTGTGTGTTCTGTGAGGGATTGGTTTTCCATTCAGGATGCCCCCAAACTACGGCCTGTGATAGGCTGTACTGACTGAAGTGGCTGCAAAATGTTTGTCTGTATTATGTAGCTATATGCCATTGGGACTTGTTAATTCATATTAATATACACAGCTGTTACTTTGTATAGTTTAGCTGTGTCTAGTTAAAGTATAGTAGCAAAGTGGTCCACTGTTGTAGATCCTGGACTTCGGGCTGGCTCGGCAAGCTGACAGTGAGATGACCGGCTACGTGGTCACCCGCTGGTACCGGGCCCCAGAGGTCATCCTCAGCTGGATGCACTACACCCAGACCGGTGAGTTGGAACAGATGAATCATTTCAGGTTGCTATATTATATGAACCCTGACTGTTATTCCTCTGTCTTCAATAACTGTTTATACACTAAAGGGAGTATTTCTCAGCTGCTGGGTTGTGACCATTTTCATTGGGTTGCAGAGAGTGTCTAAAAAAAAAAAAACACCAGTTGACGACTTTGACCGTTGCCATCTCCCACCCCAGTTGACGACTTTGACCGTTGCCATCTCNCCAGTTGACGACTTTGACCGTTGCCATCTCCCACCCCAGTTGACGACTTTGACCGTTGCCATCTCTCACCCCAGTTGACGACTTTGACCGTTGCTGTAATGTGGGTCCTGGGCCTAACCCAGTGATCTAGCGTCTGTCCCAAGTATAAGGTGTTAGCTGGGGGCAAATTAAAACAAAGTCATTCTACACCTATAGTAACTAAACGCATAGTAAGTGTTGCCCCATGGAGTTTTGATGATGCTAGCCGACCACTAGCTAAGGTGCGGCATTTAAGTCAAGCTGGGGATTTAGTGTCAGGCAATATTTCCCATTAGATAACCATCACATACAGCCATTTACACTGACAAATAGGCCCCCTCCTCAGTTCTAGGGCTACTTGAGATCAATGTGGAGACACTTTCCACATCTCTACAGATGAGGTTTCCATCTGCCATATAAATAGCCACCAGAGGTGTGACTCAGCCATAATGTGTTTTTGAGCAATTTGGGATGAACCCTAAGAAACTTGGCATGATGTTAATGAGCACTACACTGTCAGAAAAGACAACCAATTTGTACCTTTTGAGGGTACAATTACTTGTCACTGGAGCTGTACCCTCCAGGGTCTGTCAATTTTACCCTAGCTGTAGGTAAGTGTACCCTTTAGTATAATTTAAGGTACAGTAATGGACTCTAAGGAACAATTTTGTATCATTGGGGGTACATGTTGTTGGTATCTTTGAGAACAAAACTCTACCAGAGCTGTATGCTTTTTCTGACAGTGTAAGACTCTAAAAGATTATGCTGTTTGCACATCTAAACTCAGAGTTCACTTACCTTCAGCCCTATTATGTGCGTACTGATTGTGTCCTTCATGTTAGCTTGCCTTTCCTTCACTGCCCTATCATATGGAAATTTAACATGTTCATACAGTGGTACCTCAGTTCTCGAACTCATTAGAACTCGAATTTCTTAAAAGTCGAACCAACCAGTTCGAAAAAAAATTACCTAGAGCTCGATCTGAATCTCAGAAGTCAAACCGTAAACGCCGACCTAAGATAACTTGTTTACACTAACTGAATACATATATTTAGACAGTAAAAATACATTTAGACAACGGTAGTGTCACGGCTCGACAAGAAGCAGGACAGAGATCCAGTAATGCAGGGAAAGGTAGGCTTTAATGATATTAGCCTATAGCAAGGTACAGAATCGGCGAGCAGGAATCGTGGTCGAGGTTTGTAGTCTGGGGTCGTTGCCAAGGGGATCCTTCCAACAGGAAGACACTGGACTGGGGAACACAAGGAAGGGAAGACAGGAGATGCCGGGTTCAGCGGGACAGGTGGGTAAAGAACGGGAGCTGGTCTGGGAAGGGAAGGATAGCAGGCAAGGATTGTACAGGCGGTAAACAGGTAATGCTGGGACAAGCGGGTAGACGAAAGACAGGAATAATGCTCAGTACGGCATCTAGACATCGGCTCAATACTTCGCAAGGAAGTTCTGGGGCTGTCCGGGGTTAAAGGCGACTACTTGTCTGCTAATGAGTTGCACCCGTTCGGTCCCACCCCAGTGGGCGTGACAGGTAGACAGTAACAGTAATTATTATTATATAATAAAATACATGTAAAAATAAAGATTTCTTATTAATTATTTTAATATTAATAATAAACCATTAATACATTTAATTATAATAATATTGTCGTGCCCAGCAGGGAAGGAAAGGAGACAAAGGCGCAGACGTCAGGGTATCGGGGAATACGGGGTTTAATTACAGGTAAGGCAGGCAAAACGCAGACAGACAATACAATGACCGGACTGGGGAAACAAACTGAAACGTGAACGAAATACAGAGGACTAATGACAGCAAGCAGAAACAGCTGATCACACGGGGATTCCACACGGGGTTAACGAGGGGGCGTGGCACACGGAAGGAGCGGACAGTCGGGGCAGGACACATTGGTTTTTTTAACTTTACACATTGTTTGGATACATTTATTTTCTTACTTTACTAATTACTGTTTTGATAAATGTGCTTAGATGTGTTTAGTACAGTATATGCTCTTGTTTTATCTGGTTCATTTCGTGTTGTCGATGCTAAAAAAAAAAAAAAATCATATTTAGGTGTAATTTTTGGGGCCGGGAACCAATTAATTGGTTTTCCATTATTTCTTATGGGGAAAATTAAATTCGTTCATAACTCGAACTTTTTAGGATTCAATCTGGAGTTCTGAACGGATTAAGTTCGTGTTCTGAGGTACCACTGTATTAAATATCGCTGTGGGCTCAGTGGAACTGTAGCCTCTTATCATTTTTGGGTTTCAGTTTGTGATCCTGGTTCTGTGTGCATGGAACTTGCTTGTTCTTCCCAAGTTTAGTGATCCTAAATTAGTTTCTGTATAAGTGTTTGGTCTGTAATGGTTTAGCATCTCGCCCTGGGTGTCACCTACCCTGGTTCTTTGTGCTGGCTTGGCTGGAAACAAGCAGTTATGAGAAATGGATGGATGTTTATCAAAATGCAGAAGAGTTTGAAACTGTGTGGCATTGATATTTGTGCAGTGTAAACTGAAACATCCCTCTACCCTCAGTGGACATCTGGTCGGTGGGCTGCATCATGGCGGAGATGCTGCTTGGAAAACCTCTATTCAAAGGTCACGACCGTATCCTGCTGTCACCTGACCAGTAACGTGTGTGATGCTGGGGCGCCTTTTTAGGCCTGCTGTGTGATAGAAATTTCGCTGAAGTCGATTTGTTTAGGAGTCTGACAAAACTTTATTACCGCAACGCTTTGGGGGAACAGACACTCAGCAGTCTTTCTCTGCGCCTCGTGATCTGCTCCCCGAACAACAAGTGCATGCATCTTTTATAGCCAAAAACGCGACAGTTTAGGGAGGGGTCAGATATCTGTAGACACCAGTTTCTTCTGTTAAACTGGACTCATTATCAGGTAAAGGCAGGGTTGACCTTTTCATGATCACTGTTTTGATTGCATCACCCTGTTCAAAACAAGTTAATCTGAAATCCCCTTACGTTCCTTAGTTCTCTTTTCAAGTGGTCTTGACCCCTAAAATACACACATTTCTTATAAATGTTTTCTGCAGCAAACTTACTTCTCAGATCAGGTCTGTACCTTGACCTTTTTCCAAAACAAGCTACCATACCAAAATAATGTATGTGATGCTGAGGTGCTTGTGTAGGCCTGCTGTCACCTGACCAGTAACGTGTGTGATGCTGAGGCGCCTGTGTAGGCCTGCTGTCACCTGACCAGCAACGTGTATGATGCTGAGGTGCCTGTGTAGGCCTGCTGTCACCTGACCAGCAACGTGTGTGATGCTGAGGTGCTTGTGTAGGCCTGCTGTCGCCCCCATCCCTCTCACACACACATCCATCACCTACACACCTGCCTTCTGTACCAGTTAACATGCTATAGTAAATAGGAAATCCTGTAGAGTTCACTATTCAGAAAAGCTAGAGGGTTATTGCAATAACTACCAACAACTGGACCTTTCACACCTCAGTTATCAATGTAATTAACCCACCAAGACATTTGACTTGTTCTATATTGGGTAACCTTTGACCCTTGACCTGTGGAGAGCAGACTTGGATCAGCTGACAGAAATCATGAAGGTTACAGGCACCCCAACTCAGGAATTTATCATGAAACTGCAGAGTCAAGATGTAAGTCATGAACATGAATTTATAGCTTGTCTCCATGCTTTGTCCCTGGTGTTTACAAGGGTGTGTATCATCAACCTAAAATGGCGTTAAAAATACTGTTCCTTTCAGTTAGACAGATGAATAATATGCCCATTTTAAGGTGACTCCATGTATGATTTTATGTAGCATGGCAAAGGAAAACAGCTGTTTGGAAGGATTGACTGTAACTGACCATATTTCCATTACATTTCTAAATTAACAGTGTAAACAAATTTTAAATTCCTATAGTCTGAACTGTTGTTTTCAGTGTGCCCTGGGAGTAGTTAATGGTAAAGTGAGAACATTATGTCAACTGGTGTGGCTATAAGACTTTGACCCGCTTATCTCTGTGGGAACGTTATGTCAGCTGTAATGTGTGCTTCCTTAGAGGTGCAAACAAAGTGAAGTTTCTTTTTTTCTTCTGGTGAATATACAGCCGTGGAAAAAATTAAGAGACCACAGCAACACGTGTGTGTGTGTATATATATGTATATATATATATATGTATATATATACATACATACATACATACATACATACATACATACATACATACATATGTATGTGTGTGTGTGTATATGTATGTGTGTGTGTGTATATGTATGTATGTGCGTGTATATGTATGTATGTGCGTGTATATGTATGTATGTATGTATGTATGTATGTATATATATATATATATATATATATATATATATATATATATATATATATATATAT